TAGATGTTACAGACGCGTCGTGACTATGGTAGGTCGGCAGTTTCAAAGCAGGCATCACATGCTGCAATAACAAGGCGAGGAATAGGCCCGTTATCAGACCTGTCAACAGCGAGCGCGGGGCAAAGGGAGGCATGACGTGATCACAACAACGGCACTCCGGACTTAATGCCAATGCTGAGAAAGCTGCTTGATCATGATAACCTTTTGACTCCTGAAGATCGTCCGTATAGTGAAATCTGTAGCTAACGGTATGCCGGGTGCGGGAGTCCGTGGTACCGGAGGATTTGCAATCGATCAGTCAGCCGCGCTTGGCGCTGCGCATTGATTCCGCGCGTGGGGCTTCAGTCAAATCGTGGCCCTCATCCAAATCGAGGACCTTCTACAAACATCTCCTGAACAGTCCGCGTCCAGCTGAATCTTTCACAAGCAAAGTTAAGGTAGGATCGCAGGGTTATCTTCTTCACTCCCATGGAGAAGAGGCGAAACGCTGGTTGAAAAGATCTGCTGTGACCCAGGTATCTAGGCATTACACTGCATAGCTATCGACACACCGCAGCTTGAACTTTTGCTTCAAACTTTCAAGTCGACTTTTATGGACTACTACCGGGTTCCCATATTTTCACTAACTAATCTTACGCACAAGCATGGAATTGAACACTGTGGAAGATTACAAGGCCGTAATATTGACGCCGAGGCAGACCCGTAGAGAAGAGAAAGCACCTGCTGTGACACCAGTATGCCACGGAACTCAACTGATGAATGTACCTAGTGAAAAGAGCTCCGAGATTGATTGCGGTTCATGGCTTGGAAAGAACCCGCGGCGAGCCACAGCAACACAACAACGTCCCACTATCATACTCGGCAGGACAGGGCTAGGAATGCACGCGTTTTAGGGATTCATAATAGTAGCGACAAGCTTGACATGCAGTTCCTGGCACGTGATGGAAAAAGGACATGCTTGAACTCTTCGCCATACTCCAAGATATAACCAGTTCCTCAAGAAGATCCAAGGTAACAAGGGGCGAAGGTAGGCGCAAGGCCAAGGCAATGCGTACTATTGCAACGAAAAGAAAGACCGTTCTCCATACTCCGGGACAATGATAAAACAAGCAAATCGCACAAGGGGGAATCATCGCTGTATGCTGCAAAGAGAGCCACACCCACTGGGCATGATAGCCCTGGACACCCCGCGCCAGTACCCATGCCCGTGCGTTAATGAAGCCAAATACAACCCAAACGACTCAACACCTTGCCATGATTGAAAGGACAGGATATAGTGGCAACAATAAATGAAGACCGAACATGCAAACGCTCCTCGATGAGCTCCCTCAACTCCTCAATCATGACTCATAATGGCATAACAAATGTCTGTTGGTGTCTCTAGCGCCCCATCATGTAAGTGGAATAGCCCGAGAAGCCGTTCCCGGCACCACTGGAGGCAAGAGGCTGGCGCATAGCACCTGCCATGTCATTGTGGCCCATGCCAAAGCCACCATTGGAGTACATACCAAAGCCAGAGCTGTTGTTGGAATGTACTGTGGTGGACAGGCCTGGAGGCACTGACAAGCCAGGCGGTGGGCCCGTAGCCGTAGAGAAGCCTGGCGGGCCTGCGGCACTACTGCCGAATCCCGAGAGAGGTGTAGAAGGGGCAATGGCAGACTGTGGGCCCATGACTGAGTTTTGGCCACTACGCACACCCAAGGGGTTCTTCGAGAAGCTCAGTCGGATGCCACCCTTGACGCTGTTGTGGAGCATGTATCCATAGAGCTCATTCAGAGCCTTGGTAGCAAAGGATGTGTCTTCGAATTCGACAAAACACATGGGGCCATTCTGCTTGGTGCGGAAACAGAGTCTCTTGTATCCACGCTGCTTGGAAAAGACAGCCTTGAGTTCATCTTCCGAGGTGTCCATGGGAAGATTGCCCACGTAAAGAGTGTTGCATGGTGGGTTTTGATCAGCGGGGTTTACTGGGGGATAAGTGGGCCGCGCGAAATGCTGCGTATACTGCTGGTAGCCTGTATTAGGTCCGCTGCTCAGTGCGGAGGGAATGCTATGTGGTGACAAGGCTGACAAGGCTGGGCCGGGGGACTGCATGTTGGATCCAGAACGCGGAGAAGCAAAGTTGGATAGAGGCGGGGACGTGGCATTCGTCACGCCGTTTGTGTTTAGAGAAAGAGATCCGAAGCGCTGTATGGGAATGGAAGGGGTATGGGGGTTGGTAGCGCGACGCTGCATGCTGGAGTGCATTGGCGGGCCACCCGTGGCATATCCAATCGACTCGTTAAGCAGGCCATCGTCGTCGTCGGCGTCTTCATTGATGACCGACTTGCCCAGATTGCGGCTCGTGAAGGAGGTGTTGACGGGGGATGTCGGCGAGAAAAGGTTGGTGACCGGGAACTCTCCGTTGCCAAGACCTGGGGTCCCGTTGGGTGGGGACATGTTCTCCATGTTTTGGAAGGTGCCGTTGTATCGCGATGACTGCCGGGCGTTGATAGTCGCGCCGCTCATGGCGCTTGTGCCAGACGGTTGTCGCGCCGGCGTGCTGTCGACTGTGTTGCGGCGGGAGCCGATTGCGCCAGGCGATGCGTCCTGCGTCAGCTCGACGACCAGCGTCGCATCGTTGGTTGCATTGCGCTTTCCGTCGAGGAGGTGACGCGCTTCTTTTGCGCCGTCGAGCGTCTGGAAATGCGCAATGGCAGATGCGAAACCCTTGTCGTCGGCATGTCTGGACGGTGGGAGGATCTCGCAGTCGATCAGGTCCTTGGCGAACAGCAGGATGTTGCGCACGGCATCGCGATCGCTGCTGCTCGGGAGTTTGCGCAACAGAATGGAGTAGCGCGCGTGGTTCGCGGGGCTCTTGTCGAGGGGCCTGCGCTCTCCGACGGCTCCCGGCATGGCGTACATGTGCGGTGCGAAGATGTCGGCCGTCATGGTGTTGTGGGATGCAAAGGGCTTGGGCGGCGACGACGAGGTGGAGCTACTGTGGGAGCCGTGAGAGCCGTGGGGGAAGGGGCTGTTGGACAGGTTCGAGGGGCTTGTGCTGCTGGGACTCGGCCGGGCGGCCATGGCGGCCTTTGTCTTGACGGCGGTGCGGCGGGTGTGGCTGCGACAAAGGACGCGGCGGCGCAGAAGAATTGCGCGTCGGCGGCGGTCAAGATGGCGACGATGGTGAGGATGGCGGCAGTGATGGTGTTGGCGACGGCGGCAGCGGCAGCGGGTCCTGGGCAGGTGGTGGGTGTCGGGGGCAGTGGGAGTGGCAGGCAGGGCACAGCGGTCGAGGGCGTGAGCGTGGGCGGGCGGCGGGCCTGGGCGATGCGCGCTGTCGAGGCTCTGGCACACGCAAGAGTCAAGCCAATGGGCGGCAGGGCAGGAATCGCAGGCAGCGGGGGATGCAATGCAGCAGAAGCGGAATTGCGATAGCGGCAGCCTAGCACTTCATCATTCAAGGCAGAAGCAGTGGGCAGGCGCAGGCAATGGGGCGGCTGTGGGAGGGGAGGAGAGGCGGCAGAAGTGCAAGTGAAACCCTCAGGATAGCGTTGACGGGGGCGCGACTGCCCACTTGGTGATGCGCCCAGGGAAGGCGCGTCGGAGCTAATTTGATTACTGTGCGAGTCCTGGATTCGCCCGTCACACAGGTACCCCATCTCGACCACTCGACGACGCGCTGCGCTACACCAGCCTGCTCGATTCCCACGGCGAGACGAGTCTCGTTGGGCTGCTTGCCGTCTTGTTGGCCCTCCGCCTCTTAGCGGCCTCGAGTATAGCCAGGGCTGACTTTAGCCTTTCCCCCATCGTCGTCGCGGCCTGGGCGAGAGAGATCGGCCCCAAGATGCACCGCTTGATCCACGGAACTATCGTTCATCCACGGGCCCCTATCTGCGGGCCAGCAACCAAGGCACGCTGACATTGCACGTCCGGTGTGCTGAGCCCAACCCATCGTCACCCGTCCAAGATGCTTATCCGTCCCAGCGTCTATCAGGCAGACATGCACCATCGGCCTTTTCTGCCAATCACTGTGCCTCGCGCCTAGACTCGGCATGCCGGTACACACCCCGGGCCAAAAGCAAGTTTCGTCGAGTACAGTCAGTCGGTCTGTCCTCTTCTACGCCCTCCATGGCACATGCACAGCGCCGCTGCCCAAGGGTCTGAAGAAACCTATTCTGTGCACCTGTGAGAGGCGCGAAGGCGTTCATTCGCCCATTGCTTCGGCCATGTACCATGCTTCTTTACTGCCTTTGCCCAATCACACGTGTGCTCACCCGTCTTTTTCCTACGCTATCCTTCTGCCCCTCATCCCTGGCTGGCCCCACGAGACATATCAATGGGTTACGATAAATTGTCGTGTCATTCCACACATAATTGTTGAAGTAATCTGTGGCTTCGGGCTAATGGCCGTCACAATCCAAGGCAGAAAGAACGCTTCCAGTATCGCGTGTTGTGGGGAACGTTCCAAGGTCTTGATCAACGTTCGACTAGACCATCGCAGCGATTGGCCTGACTGTCCGGGTCCGCGCAACGTACAAACAAGCTCCGACTGTGAACGCCGTTGGGAATCTCACCTCTCGGGTTCTAGCTAGGATACGCTAAACTTCGGTTGTAGAAATGGTAGTCTCTGTAGCAACAGTTCGCATTCGCTTAAAATGGCATGCCTTATGGTAGGTTGAGTAGCCAATCATCACTGCGTAGACGACGCCACTATTGCCATACGTCACTGTCTTGCGGCCGTAAGTCATACATATCGACCGCACCGGGTCAATCTGCTCAGCACATCTAGCAAATTAACACTACACATCGAGAGTACGATACCTGAAACGCTTTATCTTACTGCAGGCATCTCCAAAAGGGCATTATTGCGACACATACGTCAGACTGTGTGGTAGGACTCGACATACTATAAAGGTAAGCAGAAGACCACGACGAAAGAATCACCATCTTCTTAAAATCCAGCATTACAAGCACAACTTGAACGCTTCAAACACCCAACTCAAACTCCTCTCACCATGTGTTGCAGAAAGAACCGTCAGAGTTACTTCGAACAACAAGCGTTGTACTCGCCACCCGCCCGAGGCTGTTGCGGACGACGTCAAGCACATTTCCAGACATACACCCAAAACACCTCCAACTTCGCCGAACGACCTACTATGGTAAGCTTACAATGTATAAGCCGCACGAGACAACTGACTGACGCGACCAAGGCTGGTCTACTTGCCATCAGTCTCGGCCTTGGTGCCGAGAAACTGGGACGTACCATATCCGAGAAAAGACTCGAGCGCAAGGAGAAGAAGGCTATTGCTGTACGTCGTGCCTTGAAACGTCCGTCATTATGTCAGCTGACCGGCTGTTGTAGCAGCATGAAGCGATCTATGGCTCTTCATCATCAGCGCCACCAGCGCCTATCACGACTCGAGAGAAAAATAGCAGGACGGAAAAGAAACGCGAGGAGGCTCAGCGCGCACTGGATGAAGCCCGTCGAGAGCCACCAAGTGCGCCGCAGTACGAAAGCAGACGCCGAAGTATGGAGACAGAGAGGGTCAGTAATGAGGAGCCGCCGCCGAGTTACGATGATGCAGTACGTCACGATGAAAAGCGCTCTTGAGTTGTCGATATCTGCGGTTGATATATATTGTGTGCAATGCTGGTGTATATTTGGTTTGGCATAATGCTTCGTTGGTCTTTGTGTATACGGGCAGACACAGTAACAGTAGTTCGTCATTTTGTAACTATCTTTAATTAGCGTAAACTTATTGCTCAGGGGCTTAGCGCCACTATTGTCACTAGGAAAGTCTTGCTAGCAACTTGAGAAGCGTCAGTAGATTCTAGTGATCATGTCATGTACAAGGGAGTCGTGGAGCGTCACGATGCTCATTTGTGCCAAGACACTAGTGTACGTAGCGCGTCACTAGAATTTCCTGCGAGCTCCTCATTTCTCTGCATTCCAACCTACCACTCCCACCACTAAGCTTCTTTACGTGTACACGACTTCCTTTTTCGTTCCTTCCATCTCCAACACATACCTGCGCTAATGCGGTAGCCTCCCACATCTTCAATATGCCTCCTCGGTTACGGTGTCAAAATTTCTCAACACCGGCCACCCCATCACAGGCCACTCAGTGCTTAGCTGCACGGCCACAGGTTGCCTGGAGCCCATCACGGCATTCGCGACATTTCTCACAGACACCATGTCCACAAATCACATTACGGCGGCGGAAATTCTATGAGTGGCTCAATGGGCCGGGTCGACAGCTCAAGGAACCTATACCCGACTCCACAAACTACCTAGGAGCTTACGACAAGTACGGCAACCTGGTGCGCGCTGGCCCTGGATGGCGGAGAGATGGGGGTGCGAAGGCTGCTGCCTCGACTGAGGCCGAGCAAGCTGGAGCAGAGGCCAAGGCAGAGGAGACCACGGCAAAGGCGACACCTGCAGGACAGGAGAGCCTGGATGCACTAGATGCTGCCATTCAGTCTGGCGCAGCTGAGGAGAAGGACACCAAGAAGCCGAAAGAAGCGGACGATGACAGCAAGCTTCCGCCTGAAACGGCAGAGGACTTGCGGCCTTTTCCTCTCAATCAGTACTTCCGCAGTCAGCCAGTATTGAGTGAGGACCTCCGGGAAGCAATCTGGCGGAGAGTCAAGAAGGATGGGGCGACAGTGTCGCTCGCCAGTGTCGAGTTTGGCGTCAGCAATGAACGCGTCGGCGCTGTTGTGCGTCTGAAGCAAATGGAGAAAGAGTGGATCGCCCAGGTATGTTCAAACATTTTCTTCAATCCCCCCACAACACGACATGATGAGCTTCTTAAAAATCGATTAGTCTTTAAGACATCCACATGGTTACAAAACTTAAGTCATGCTCTTGCTGAACGTCGTCGGCTTGTTCTTTGAAACAGCGGAAACACTGTATTACAATTGCTAACTCAATGTTTACAGGGCAAAACACTCGCGCTCCCTTACTCCAAGGCAGTTCTTTCCATGCTTCCAACAACTCCACACATCGATACCTCGCTCCCGGGGAACAAAAACAAACGTCCTATCACACACGAGCCCATCAATGACCTCGCGGTACACCCCGCGACACGTCAGCAGCTCTTCGTGCCTGTTGCTGAGTCTCGGCAATTCACGCGTGAAGACGCTGGCAAGGCCTTTGACAACACGCTGTTGCCGGCCGACGCACGCATTCCTCACCCAGAACTTGTGCAGGCTGAGCGGGAATTGCAGTCTGGACTTTCGTTCGAGGAGCGCAAGAAGCTTGCCGAGCAGCGATTTGAACAAGAGCAAGCAAAGAAGAGGCAAGAAGAGAAGCGCAAGGAAGAGGAGCTTAGGGCCATGAAAGTGGTGCCGCAGCGGAGGTGGGATTTCGTCTTCAAGGACGTCAGCGTAGAGGCTGCAGGCAGAGACGGCAGAGGTGCCGCGGCTGCTGGATGGCGATATGGAGTGCCGCACCAGGATCGCAAACGAGGCATCCCCAAGATTCCCACAAAGGTCGAGGCCTAAACTTATGTATAATGCTGTATATATAATACATGACGAATTGATGCAAACCTTCACCGGTACTGCATCTTCTGGCCACCTCGCTTCTCCATCTTGGCCTGTCTCTTGCTTGCTTGCGGCTGGGGCACACCGGCTGCATCTTGGTATCCGCCCCTCATGCCCGTGTAGGTGGTGTAAGCGGAATAGACGCTGTAGACTGGGATCACAATCCACAGGAGCCAGGCGTAGTCTCCGACAATAGCAGCCATGACAATGCAGCCATACGTCCAATAGACGACATCCCACATGTACTCAGTCAGGCCCTTGGCATCGAGGTCTTCGCCAGGTCGCTTGACAGCGCCGTCGGCATCGAGAGTGGGGCGAGAGAGGCGCTCGAAGTACAGCTGGATGAGCAGTTGCGGAGCCGAGAGTAGTAGATAGACGACCAGTGACTTGCGTGACAGTGAAGCGCGGAAAATTAGGGCACGCAGGAGCCACCAGAGGCCGTGGACGGCGAGGGTGATGTAGAGGGTCTGGTTGAGGCGCTGGGCATTGGAGGCCGCGAGCGTCTTGGTGGCTTTCTACGGGGACTGTCAGTGACGGGTGCGTGGTAGCGGGCGGTGGGCGGGCGGGCGTACCTTGGCCATGGTGAAGGTGCGATGTGGCTGTGACTGGCTGGACGTTGCAGAGAAACGTCGTGCGTCTCTAGGCGCAGGCGGGACATTGTTTTGTTACATGTCTTGGCACTCGTAGCGCGTAAACCTACACCTTGACCGCGTCCACCCGCCTGCCCGCAACATCACCACCGCCGCCGCTCCAGCCAACGCCGCCTCGACTATGAGCGCATTACCTTGAGTCTCCGTCCTGTCTTCGCCGCCGCCCAGCAAGCATGTCAGCACCCCCAGGCGTAAATGCCCAACTGCGCCAGATCGTATACTACCACCTAGACAACGGCTTCGCTGAAAACGCCCTGTTCTTTGCCGGCCGCCTGCACGCCCTCGACCCCCGCAGCCACGATGCAGCGCACCTACTTGCCCTGTGCAACCTCCGTCTGGGAAGATACAAGCAAGCCCTGGACGATGCGCGAGCCAAGGGCAACCACACCCAGCATCTAGGATGCGCCTACGTCTTTGCCCAGGCCTGTCTCGCCCTCGACCGCTATGAGCAGGGAGCCCAGGCGCTGGAGAAGATGCGCAGTTCCTGGGCAGGGCGTAACCACTGGAGTGAGTAGTTATAGGAGTAAACACTGGTGACCTCTACTGACATTCGTCACAGACAAGCATTCCGAGACCTCACGACGCCATGTGCCCGACGCCGCCGCCTGCTACTGCATGCTGGGAAAGCTGTACGCAGCCCATGGCGACTCCAAAAAGGCCATTGAACACTTTGTCGCCGCACTCAAGATCAACTCCTTCATGTGGGATGCCTTCACCGGTCTCTGTGATATTGGCGCTGTCGTCCGTCCTCATAACATCTTCAAAATCACGCCCGATATGCTCCCTCCTGCCTCCTCATACAACCTCCAGCCTAGGATGAATGGCCGCAGCGCGCAGCCTCCTTCATACAACGACGTTGAAAACCCCTTTGTCAACGGCCAAAACGCACACGACGAGCACGCCATGATGGGCGAGGCTGGCGGTCCCGTCCAGATGCGCCCCATAACATCAAGAGCCCGCACCAAGACGAACCCTGAAAGCGATCAGACGGACATCCCGCGGCCTGTTTACCAGAACGGACATAAGAGAACCGTATCTGGTCATTCTCTGCAGCAGCCCCAGCCCCACGCACAAGCACCGCAGCAACCTCACTCCCAATCACAACAACAATCGCAACCGTTTGATCCTACAGCGGCTCCCCCAAGGCGCAGTGTACGGCTGCTGAACTCTATCACTCAGATCCGGCCTTCAAGTAGCAGACCAGGCGGTACATCAAGCAGAGACCTCGAGTCGAAAGAGCGGCGCGAGCTACGGAAAGCAAGGGCCGCAGCTCCCAAGCCACGCTCAGGGACAGGCTCGACTGTGGGCAGAGTTGTTAGTGGCAACAGGAAACCGCATGTCGACAACTCCGAACCCACAAAACCGGAGAGACCACGGAGCGTGGCGGAGACGACTGTCGCACCGCCCCCAAGGATGGGTCCGCCCGCAGATACTTCACGGGACCGAGATGTCTTGAGCTGGCTACTGGATCTGCTCCTCAAGATAGCTTCTGGATACAGGCATCTGAGTCGCTATGATGCATCAAAGGCACTTGAGGCATTTGGACTCGTGCCTAAGTCACAGCGGGAGACACCCTGGGTTCTGGCGCAGATCGGCAAGGCCCACTATGAGCGCACCCATTACACAGACGCAGCCAGCACGTTTCGAAAGATACGAGAACTGGCGCCTGCTTCCTCAGAGCATATGGAAGTGTATTCCAATACGCTCTGGCAGCTCAGGGATGAGGTGGCCTTGGGTCATCTTGCACATACGCTGATGGACCAAGATCGTCTCTCTCCACAAGCCTGGTGTGCACTGGGTAATGCAAGCTCTATAAACGGGCAGCATGATGAAGCCGTCAAATGCTTCGCTCGAGCTACGCAGTTGGATCCAAAGTTCGCCTACGCTTTCACCCTCCAAGGTCATGAGCATGTCGCAAATGAGGAGTTTGATAAAGCCATGGCGGCCTATCGCAATGCCATCAGTGCGGATAACAGGCACTACAACGGCTGGTATGGTCTTGGAAACGTCTACGAGCGTCTGGGCAAGTACGAAGTGGCTGAGAAGCACTATCGGGCAGCGGCGGAGATCAACCAGAACAACGCCATGCTCCTTGTTCGGATAGGCTTGGTAAGTCATCATTGTCCTCGTTTGTCCGTCGAATACTAATATGAGTACGCAGGTTCTGGACCGCATGAAGAAGACTGAACCCGCATTGCTGCAGTTCGAAAATGCGATCAAGATCGAACCACGCTCCGTTATGGCACGCTTCCGCAAATCGCAAGTCCTGCTGAAGTTGAACGCGCCGCAAGAGGCCTTGCACGAGCTTCTCTACTTGAAAGATGCTGCTCCAGACGACCCCAACATACATTTCCTGCTAGGTAGGTGTTACAAGAAGTTGCGAGACCGCGCGAGCGCAATTCGCCACCTCACGATAGCTATGAATCTGGACCCGAAGAGTCACGGCGTCATCAAGGAAGTCATGGAAAGTATCGATCAAGAAGACGACGGCGCATGGAGCAGCGAAGACGAACATTAACGTTGCTGCCACTGTCGCTTTTTTGAACAAAACCTTCTATCACGAACCGCTTAACTCAATACCCGAAATGACTTCTTTATCCCTACGACGACGCAGCAATCATCTTCATCTTCATCAGCCTTGTCTTTTAGCGCATACCCCTTTCTTGGTTTACACGTTTGCCTTTTTCTTCTCTTTCTCTATACCCATCATCATGGACTTGGACTTTGCATCATGGGCGCATTGGGGGAGGGGCGTAGCAAAAACGCAGCCATAACTTGGCGGCTTTTGGCATAATCATGCATTTTGGAGAGGCGTTGCGGTGCTTTGTTTTGCTGGCATTGACGCTGCCCAGTTGGGCCGGCGCAGCGAAGGGGATTACATTGGCGTAGTTTGCAACGAAGACGACTACGAATGACCAATACCCTGGATGACCACCACTGCTTTTTGCGCAGACTCATCGTCTAGTCTTTTGCGAAAAAAAGGCGAGATGGAGATTTGCGACTTGTACTATATATCAAAATGCATTGGGATATCCTTACCTCTACACACATGCTCATCTATCTCAAGATTTCGCATCAACCCCCCTTTCTTCCCTTTGTCTTCACCTCGCTTTACTTCAGCACAGCAACCAACCTCCCCCCACTGACCTCCCGCCGCCTCATCCGATCTAACCCCGCATTCACCCCTTCCAACCCCTCCACCGTACCCACAACATCTGGTGGAACCAACAACCCCTTGGCAAGCAGCCGTTCGCACCACGCACTAAGCGCCTCGCCCACTTGCGGGACTTCGTGGTATAGCTTGATAGGCACACTGTGCAGCGCAACGTCTTTCGGTACGTTATCCTTCGGTAGACCCGTCAAGCCCACGAGATGGGATCTCTGCCCCGCTGAAACGGGGGTATGCGGTGTTGACGGCGGAGTCGGCAATTTGGCCTGTGATGAAGCCGGAACAGTAGGATGTACAAGAGCGCTCATCAAGTAACCCGCTGTTTCTCTGCCTAGCGTATCGAAGCCAAATCGCGCGCCTGTCTTGCCCGTATAGGCGCGGATGATTTCCACCGCTCTTCCTGCGTCGTGCGCGTCAACGAGGTAATCCGGCCGCGCTGCTTCCGACGCCAGAAGCCTGGGACCGTGTTTTGCGGCATCGACAACTGCTATGACTTTCACCCCTGCTAATCGTGCTATCTGCATCGTCACAAACGCACATACCGATCCCGCACCCCAGATAATCAGGTTATCTGGAGCTTTGATACGCTCTTTCACGCCAATACTATGGAAACATTCTTGTCGTATATCACCCGGTATACCCTCCGGTTCCATCCTCCTCACAATATCGAGGATATTAGGCCCGTCCTCAATGTCGGAGAAATCGAGCCCGAGACATATTCCTAGTGTGAGGGCGGCGGAGACAAAAGCTACGCCTAGGATACTGCCTGAATTGAGGGAGAGGTTGGGAGGCAGGCGAATGGTGTTGAAGGTGGAGGCGATGCTGTAGTGTTGGTATGCGGCTTTGCGCGGGTCGCGGTAGTCGGTTGAGGGGACGAGGACGCGATCGCCCTTTTTGATCCGTGATGAGGGTGTTTTAGGGGTGAGGAGGACTGCGCCGCTGTATTCGCGGCCGGAGATATAGGGGAGGGTTGGGATGCCGAAGTTGTAATCGCTGGGGGGTTGTTAGTGGATATGTGAGTATGGGACTGGGTGGTCGGTTCGTACGGTGCTTTCCAGTCGATTGGGTTCAAGCCTACAGCTTGCACTTTTACTAAAAGTTCGCTGTCGTGTTGAATGCTTGGGAGAAGGTGGTCGGCGGAGACTTCGTATGGTTGACGTATTGCATGTAGCTTCAATGCTGATTGTACCGCGGGAAGCGTCTCTTCTTTGCCCTTCTGCTGCACCTGTTCGATTGTTTTACGTCTTTTCGATGTTGCCTCTTGTGAAGACGCTGCTGTGATGCTACGAGTTCGCTTGACTTGCAACATCTTAAAGATTGAAATTTAGGTTGCTCAGGGTGTGTGCCTCTTGTGTTGGTGGTGGATTGATTCTCCTTCAATGCAACTCCTCAACTGGCTGCTGATCGCCAGCCTTCGGGTTTCTCTTTGCGACCTCTCCGGGAATACGCCTTTAGATTACTCAAGTAGGTTAGATGCGATCTGCAAGTCTACAATAAGGACTCTCTAGGTGCGCGAATAACTGTTGTCATTGTGGATTAAGATGGCATAATACGCGTAGTCGGCATGCTATCAATTTACCGCCTCAACTTACCGTCGCGTAGCGTAAATAGAAGGGCCTACATCGGAGACAAACATATAGTGATACCTCGGAGTTGACGTGATGACGCATCCCGCAGATACCTAAGCGATTGCGTTTGAGAGCGCTCAAAGCACATCATCCGACCTCCAGAACCACGACACTTCTTCCGCACGATACCATTAGATACTTTGCGAAACAACCATTGATTGATACCATGGCGAAGCGAAACCGAGAGAATGGTGTTGCGAATTCGAAGAATGCAAGGCGAAAGACTGATGCGACAGCAAAAGGCAAGAAGAAGCTGATCATCAATGCCTTCGTTGAAATGTGTAAGTTCACGTGACGCCCCCTCACAAAGCCAATCTACATGGAAGAGCAGCAAGTCGGTCGAGCAACTTGCCATTAGCTAACAATTAATCTCCAATAGGCAGTGGCCATCAGTCACCAGGCCTGTGGAGACATCCTGATGACCGTTCACATGAGTTCAACAACATCGAGCACTGGGTAGAGCTTGCGAAGCTGCTTGAGAAAGCCAAAATTCATGGTGTCTTCGTAGCCGACGTGCTCGGTGGATATGATGTCTACAATGGCAATCTTGATGCTGCAAAAATCTCAGGCGCGCAATGGCCAGTCAATGAGCCTTTGGCCATTGTGAGTGCCATGGCAGCAGTCACCGAGAGCATCGGATTCGGCGTGACTGTCTCGACAACATATGAACAACCGTACCACCTTGCTCGGAGATTATCGACGGTCGATCATCTTTCGAAGGGAAGGTGAGGCATCTGTTATCCTTATCTGGCTCAGGGACTGACTTGATCTAGACTTGGTTGGAATGTGAGGCGATGTGCTTCTTCGATCGCTGCATGGATAATAACCTTTACAGATTGTGACCAGCTATCTTGATTCGGCTGCGCGTAACATGGGTATGAAGGAGCAACTGCCGGTTAGTGTTTCGTGTACCTCGGCTTGGCTTGGCTAGAGACTTTGCTGATACACTTCAGCATGACGAGCGCTATGCGCAGGCTGAGGAATATGTGAAGGTCATGTACAAGCTGCTAGAGTCTTCTTGGAGAGACGATGCAGTCGTACTGGACCGGAAGAGTGGCGTATACACGGTACCCGATCGGGTGCGCGAGATCAACCACGAAGGAAAGTACTTCAACGTGCCGGGCCCTCACATATGCCAGCCAAGCCCGCAACGTACGCCTCTCATCCTCCAGGCGGGTGCGTCGAAGGCAGGAAAAGCCTTTGCAGCACAAAATGCAGAAGCAATATTTGTCTCCGCCCATGCGCCTGAGGTCTGTGCGAAGAACATCACAGAAATCCGACACATTGCCTCTTCGCAGTTCGGTCGGGAAGGGAAGAACATCAAGTTTCTTGCTCTTGTAACACCCATCATCGGTCAAACCGAAGAAGAGGCCCAGGCTAAGCTTGCCGATTACCGCAAATATGCGTCCTTGGAAGGAGCGTTGTCGCTGTTCTGTGGTTGGACTGGCATTGATCTTGGAAAATACGGAGACGATGAGGAATTGCGTCACGTCGAGAGCAACGCTGTGCGGTCTACTGTCGAAGGCTACGCTCGGTTCTCCCCTGGTACTTCCAAATGGACGAAGCATACAGTCGCGGAGCACGTGAGCATCGGTGGAAACGGTCCCATTCTTGTTGGAACTCCATCCCAAGTTGCGGATGGGTTGCAAGTCTGGATTGACGAGGCCGACGTTGACGGTTTCAACATGGTGAGTCGTATCCCGATTATTGTGGTAGTATTGACTCTGATGCACGAGCTAGGCGTACGCCGTCTTTCCACAGTCGTTTGTGGACATGATTGAGCTGTTGCTTCCCGAGCTCAAGAAGCGGGGTTTGTTCTGGAACGATTATGCTGTGCCTGGTGGCACTTATCGCGAAAACTTCTATGCGAAGAAGGGACAGAAAGGCCCGCTTGAGGAGCACGTGGCATCGACGTATCGGTGGAAGGCGGGAGTCGATGCTAAGGACCACGTCATTCCGGAGTGAAAAACAAATGCGATTAAGCAAGCTGAGATGTCGTGGATTTGAACAAAATCAAATGCTCTAAGAGACTCCATACATCCTAAGATCTGATGTAAGTGACCGAGATGCCATATCAGTATGCGTCAGCTTGGAGATGTGCATTATAACGCGATATTGCTCTGGGTCGCATCCTGCAATGGGGCACGACGCCGTCGATGTCTTCTTGGGCGTCGCAGATTTGTCCTAGTTGCTGTCTCGCTCTCTCTAGAGCGCAAGGTCGCGTCAGTGCAGGGGAGCGAGCACGACAACCACCGCGAATGCTGCGAGCCGATTTCGTCAGCAAGCGGAGAAAAGACGTGATTGCCCTTCTGCCCGACCGGCGGCTCTGCAGGCCGGGAAAAGATAGCGCATCTAACAGCGTCTTACGGCATCGGTACTTGAGAGCAAAGTTGGTGATAGCGAGGCAGCTAACCCCGGGGCTTTAAAGTCGTCATGGGTAGAGACATGCGTTCGACGAGAGGGCATCGTTCTAGGGACAGCGAGGGACGCCCACCGCTTACATAATGACGCCAAACCCAGTTTTAGCAGCCGCGGCCAATCTAACGGCTTCGGGGCAAGAGCCAACACCATCGCGACGCGTCGCACAGCTCGCAGAACATCTCGCGTCAGCAGAGGGCACCAAACAAGATGAATTTCACGCTACCTTGCCAACTTCTTACCCCGTTTCGAAGCTGCAGTTGAGCCCAACGCAGTACATCGATCATGTACGAAGCCTTCGCGTCGCTGTCATCGGTGCTGGGCTAGCTGGTATCAATGCAGGTATTCTTCTGCCAGCGAAAGTGCCGGGCATCGACTTAACCATCTTTGAGAAGAACGACGATGTTGTAAGTGCACTCAGGAGTTGCGGGAGAATCGCACTGACAACATGCAGAGTGGGACGTGGCTTGAGAACGTGTACCCCGGAGTACGATGCGACATTCCATCTCATGTGTATCAAGCGACATACTCGCCCAATACGCAATGGTCTGAGATCTTTGCGCGAGGCGCTGAGATTCGTGACTATTGGCAGGCGCAGGCTAAGAAGCACGACGTCTACAAGTATGTCAGACTTCGGCACCGCGTCGACGAAGCGGAATGGGACGACGCACACTCCAAATGGCGAGTGACATTGCGTAACCTCAAAAATGAGACCTCATCGACAGAGACCTTCGATTTCGTCATCACCGCCATTGGTCGGTTCAACTCTTGGAAGCTACCTGATTATCCGGGCTTGAACGACTACCGAGGCCATCTAAGACACACGTCAAACTGGGACGTTTCGTTCGATCCGACGGGCAAGAAAGTCGCTGTCATTGGAAATGGCGCAAGTGGTATTCAGGTCGTGCCAAACCTACAACCCATTGCAAAACACATCACCCACTTCGTTCGCAATCCAACATGGATCGCGACATCGTGGGCAGGCGATGAGCGGACCTTTGAGCCACAGCCATACTCACAGGAACAGCGCAAGGCTCTGGAAGACCCCGGGGTGTATCTGGCCTTCAGGAAAGATCTCGAGGATAGATACTGGAGACGATTCCGTGCTATGATTCGTGGATCAACGGAGAATCAAGGGATGCGAGAGCAGTTCATCGATGTCATGAAGAAGCGGGTAGCGCAAAAACCCGAACTGCTTGATGGATTGATACCAGACTTTGCCCCACATTGCAGGCGACTCACACCAGGTCCTGGCTACCTGGAGTCTCTTACCGAAGCCAACGTGGAGCTCGTCAAGTCGCCTATCAAGCGGTTCACAACTCTGGGCATTGAAACGACCGATGGCAGGACTTTCGCGTTTGATGCGATATTTTGCGCGACTGGTGCCAACACTGATCTCGTTCCACCGTTCTCGATCAAGGCGCGTGGAGTGGATTTACACGAAGCATGGAAGCCTGGAGGCAAATGGGGCTTCCCGTACACGTACTTAGGATTGGCTGCACCTGGTTTCCCAAACCTATTCTTCCTAGCCGGACCGCATGCTACGGGCCCTTCGGGTACAGTGCCACATGGTGTAGAGACGTCACTCACATACTTCGCCAAAGTACTTCGCAAAGTCTCTTCACAAGGACTCAAGTCCCTAACGCCATCGAAAGAGGCAACGGATGACTTCGTCGACTACTGTGACGCTTTCTTCCCAACTACTGTCTTGACTGACAACTGCTCGTCTTGGAACAACGGCGGTGTAGCAGGTCAACGCATTCATGGCTTATGGCCTGGTTCAGCTGCACACTTTACCATAGCTAGACGGGAGCCACGATGGGAAGATTGGGAGTATGAACGCGAAAACAAGGACAATCGCTTCGCCTACTTTGGCAATGGGTACACTGAAGCAGAGCTTGACGATTCGACTGATCTGACTTCGTATCTCAAGGCGCCTGGTCAAGAAGTGGATTTGAGAGATCTTCATGAACGCTGGTGGGATGTGCCGGGTGCAGAGAGGAAATCGTAGATATTTCTATCAGGCTATTCAATAGTTGAGTGCGTACTCGCTCGCTTCCGGACAATCTCGTCACAGAATGGCCTGTTATGAGCGTTTTGTGGTTCTTCGTTGCAGTTTGCACTCCCTTCGAAAGACACACATCTTGCATTGTAGTTCACAATCTTGGATGGAGATGACGTGATTACGCTACTGTTCTGACCGCGGTTCCGTCAGTGTGTCCACTAGGCCTTATTTCGTACCCACGCCGACCGTTGAGGATGACGGCCCCATAACGCATCGTCAAGTACCTTGGAGATGGCGTGCTATCCCATCATCATGCCGTGTCCGAGGTACGACCGGGACAGCATACTGTCAGGCCTCTCGTCGCGTCTGGAGCTTTCCCGACGAATCTGGGACAATGTTTTGGGGATACCGGAGACGCGGCTCACTAATTGCACAGGCTTCGTATCGAGTGGAGTTCGGTACCTCCGTGTGCCGAGTATGCAGCTGTATGGCGAGTTGTACTAACGCAGTGTGGTATGAAGCATTGTCACGACGTGAAGTCGATATATCTATCAAACGGGTCAGAAAAGCCGAACATGACGAGCAGTAGAACTCCTTTTCATCCGGTATCAGATTTTTGTAAGAGTGTTGACTATGGCCAACTCAGACACGTCCGTCGAGTATGGCAGCGACGAAGGAGTTGAGAAGCGAGACTATCCAGGTGAGCATCGAAGAATCCAATATCCACACACGATAGACTCACAAATAGCAGTCAAATGGTACCGCTCAACGTTTTTCAACATGACCATCTTGGGACTCTGTAACTTCAGCGCACCAGGTATCTGGGGCGCAATGAACAGTCTCGGTGCCGGCGGAGCCCAATCACCACATCTCGTCAACGCAGGCAACGCGCTCACATTCTGTCTTATGGTCGTGAGCTGCTATTTCAGTAGTGTCATCGTGCACTACGTGGGCATCAAAGGAGCACTAATCTTTGGAACGTAAGCTAACACACCCTGTACAGGCGCATAGCACCACTAACTCGAACGACAGCATCGGCTACGCCCCCTACGCAGCAGCACTCTACACGAACAACCGCTTCGGGACCGAGTGGTTCGTCTACCTCGGCTCCTCACTATGCGGCATCTCAGCAGGAGTCTTCTGGATGGCCGAAGCCGCAATCGCAATCGCATACCCCGAACCCTGGAACAAAGGAAAGGCGCTTGGATATTGGCTCACATACCGGCTTGCTGGCCAGATCCTTGGAGGAGCTATCAACCTCGGTCTCAACGCGGATCGCGATCAAGCGGGCAAAGTCACATATACCGTGTATCTGATCTTCATTGCTTTGCAATGTGTTGGACCTGTGGTGGGACTGTTCTTGAATAGTCCCGGTAAAGTCCAGAGGAAAGATGGGAAGAAAGTCAATTTGGCTATCCTGGAGAATCCATGGGTCGAGATCAAGGAGATTACGAGGCTGTTCTTTACCAAACGCTTCTTACTCATTCTTCTTTGGATCGGCCAGGCTGTCTTCGCTGAAGCAGTGTTCTTCACCTACCTCGCTCGTAAGTGACATTCTCTTCCTCGAATAGCTTCCCATTGCGCCAGATATTGACTCGCATCTAGTATGGTTCTCCGTGCGTGCCCGCGCTCTAGGGTCGTTCCTCTCCGGCATCATCGCAGTGACCTGCGGAAACCTACTCGGCCAGTACCTCGACCGCACCAAGATTCCTCTGCGTACCCGCGCACGCAGTACCTTCTGGTTCATCGTCGTTCTACAAGGAGCTTGGTGGCTCTGGGCTACGATACTCGTCACCGAGTTCCGCCATTCGAAGCCCACACATGATTGGACGTCACCTGGCTTCGGGCGCGCTTTCGCTGTCTTCATCTTCCTGACTGCTGGTTTTCAACTCAACTACCTATTCCTATACTTCATGATTGGCAGGCTAGCGGTAGACGAGCCTGAGGTCATTCGCTATGCTGCGTTGTTGAGGGGGAGCGAGAGTGCTTGGCAGGCTGTTAGCTACGGTATCACGAGTCTGACTGTATTCGCCGAAGTCGGTGCTGTCTACTGGAACTTTGCCTTGTGGGGCGTAGCGATCTGGCCGGCATGGTTGGTTTTGAGAGAGTTTGGAGTTGGAGAGAAGGTAGCTCACACGCAGCCTGTCGAGGATGGTTCACTTAATTGCGAACAACAGGAGGTGGAAGGGATACAAAAAGGCGCATCGGATTAATAGGCATGTTGCGCAATGAGTAGATATGTGATGAGTGTTCGATACGAAGAAGCTCAATGGAGTGCCGTAATGTAGGATGGCAAGGCGGAGCTGGCACGACGAATATGGAGAGTGTAATTTAGAGGAAGACGAGAAATCCATGCACACGAAATGCGTGCTGTCTGGATGTAGAACACCCTAGAGTGTCCTCCCAGCCAATGACGGTGAGTCTTCATACTTGTAGCACAGCACGCCCTCGCCTTCCTGATTCAATGTATCCAGAACCGCACGAACGGCAACATCTTCGGCCATGAACCCCATCCACACCGGTGTGTCTAGTGTAGTCTGCTCGACGGCGTCAGCAGGAGGCCCAAAACCCTCGATGGTCCTTGGGCCGCCGATGTCAGTCAGACGGGCAGGATCACGACTCTGCCAGAGCGTCCACATGTAGTCGAGCTGGCAATGGTGGAGCCAGAAGAGCGGATCGTTGGGGGAAGAGTAGATATCGCTGATCTAGGTAGGGTGTTAGCATAGAAAGAAATCGCAATAGAAGAAGGTTACGTACGTCTCCACCGATAGCCATGTGCCCTAGACCATGCGGCCGCTGGATTGCGTTTGTGCGGATTGTGTCCTCATCTTTGACGAAACTTAATCCATCGATGAAAGCCTGGAGCTGGTAGTAGTTCTTTGCTTGCATGGTCGGCGGGTAGACATCTTCCCAGCCGGTACTTCCGTTGAACAGATCAAAGTCAACAGCGCGCGTTAAGCAGCGCGGGTTTGACGCCAGCGATTCGACGGGCCCGATGTTCAAAGACGTGTTTCCAGCGAATGGGCCGTCCTTGATGCATCCGTCTGTGTCGGAACCGTTGCCGCCAAAACCCTTCAGCACAGGCGAGGTGTAAATGGAACCATTGGCGTTGGTGGACGGGTTGTCGAGAGTCCAGTCCCAGTAGGGTTGTGCACCAGTGTAGTTGCATTCGGAGCGAAGCACAGATTCGAAGACCCAGATGGCGTAGCGGTGCCAAGGTAGGAAGACACCAACTGTGTGAATGCCGTAGATTGTGACGTTGGCTAGGGAAAGGCCAGTTAGTATGGGGGTTTCGGTAAACAACGTCTCACAAGGGTACTTACCAGCAGATTCAGGATCATTGGCGAGTGAGGGGACATCTTGACCTCCTGTCGCATCTTGTTAGCTGACGCGTATGCTTGTGGATAACGTATAGTACGAACCTCGCGTAGCGTTGATGTGTAAGGCGACAAAGTCGTCAAACCTGGTCTTCAGAGTACTGAATACTTCGGTACCCTTGGAAGGTGCCCGCTTCAGATATTGGACGGCATCAATATAGGCGTTCTGTTCAGACGAGTTCAGAGTGCGCCTAGAAGATTGTCAGTAGGAACCACACACGAATCACTTTTCCGAAATACATACCACTCTTTCCTGACGCGCGGGTTGGAGCAGCTACCTGCAGTCTCATTGACAGGCAGTGCGCTACATAGCGAAGCGATCGTGAACGAAAGTATGGTAGAAATACGCATGATGATGAACTTCAAAAAACGAGTGTGGCGTAAATGAATACCTACTGCGCAACGAAACGCTACCTATATAGAGATCCCACGACTTGTCTTTGCATCCGAAATACAACAGAGATTAGACCTCCATGAATACGATGAAACAACGTTGAACGGGTCTGCCTTGTAGATCTTATGTCACCTTAGTTCACGAGTCGTGCTTCGGTCTTGGTTTCTTCAACGTTGTTGCACCGAGTCTGTGGAGCGGAAGACACAGAGCCACTGGGGATTCGCTGGTCAGCATTAGCGTCGGCGTTGCTTGGTCTTGGTGATCTATTTTGACATGTAGCATGTCGGTAGCTCGATGTCGGATGCGGGTGCTAGATGTTCAGCGCATCCGACTTCGAGCTACCTTGTCTCTCGCGTGGCCTACCTAGCAGTTGGTACGCTCAAACGCGCCGTCTCTGGAGGTAATGTTTCCGCTTTCGGTAAGGTCTGCCTAGCATCAACGCACGCGTTCCGGAAATTTAGGGCGTCATGGGCCTCTAGCCACACAATGTTGAAGCTCTACGGGATGCGATGGTTTAGGGGTGAAGTTCAGTAATCACGTGCCAAGGCGCCTGAGCTCGCATCAATGCGAACCAGGATTACGACGTAAAAACCTGGGGCTGTGCAAACAGTGCAAAATGTTGTCGTAAGTTGGTAAATTGATGTAGGCATCTGGTGGAATGAAGAGATTCTGGGTGCGATTCCCCAATGCGCGCATGCGATGCGATGATGCGCTTGAACCCTGCCAAGTCTCGTCTCAGCAGCCAATCGGGGGGATAGGTCGTCGGGGAATTGTCACGGCGACCCTGTCAGTTCTCCTTCTCCCCACCTCTTCACTTTCCTTATCCTCTCCCCCCGCTTCCTAACTTACTTACTTGCTCCTTCCCCCCTCGTAGGCCGACAATGCCATCACTCATGGAGCTCCTACCTATCGCGGTAGCTTTTGCTGCTGTCATTGGAGGTTTCCTCTGGTACAGCAGCAGCAGCGGTGGAAGCCGCAAGGTGTTGAAGCCGACGGAATTCCAGGACTTCAAGCTCTCGGAGAAGACTGTTCTCTCGCACAATACCGCCATCTACCGCTTCGACCTCCCTCGCCCAACCGACACTCTCGGCCTTCCCATCGGCCAGCACATCTCCCTCGCCGCTACCATCGCCGGCCAGCCCAAAGAAGTCGTCCGCTCGTACACACCAATCACATCCGACGAAGACAAGGGCCATGTCGACCTGCTCATCAAGTCATACCCCACCGGAAACATCTCCAAGCACGTCGCGAGCTTGAAGATCGGAGACACAATCAAGGTCAAAGGCCCCAAGGGAGCTATGGTCTACACACCCAACATGGTTAGGCATTTCGGTATGATCGCTGGTGGCACTGGTATTACGCCCATGCTCCAGATCGCGAAGGCTATCATGCGTGGACGCTCTTCCGGTGACAAGACCGCCGTCGACCTCATTTTCGCCAACGTCAACCCCGAGGACATCCTGCTCAAGGACGACTTGGACGCGCTAGCGGCGAAGGACCCCAAGTTCAACGTCCACTACGTTCTGAACAACTCACCCGAGAACTGGACCGGCGGCACTGGTTTCGTTACTGCCGACATGATTAAGGAGAAGCTGCCCGCGCCTGCGAGCGATGTTAAGATCCTCATTTGCGGACCACCACCCATGGTTGCGGCCATGAAGAAGGCAACCGAGAGCCTGGGTTACGCCAAGGCAAGGCCAGTCAGCAAGCTCGAGGACCAAGTCTTCTGCTTCTAGATGCTGCAGATGTTGGCTCGCCAAATATATTAATTAGATATTGACATCTTCGACTAATTGATACCATTGCAATGCACCATCATATGCTGCCTAACACCACCAAATCACTTTATGCGTGCATGCTGTTGTTCTGGACCTTGTTCATATTACAGCAATCCACTCTGACTAGCATTCAATGGAAGCCGATTAAAGCAAACTACAAGAAGAAGAATAGCAAAATAATTACATGTGTTTAAAACCTCATCATCGACGTCCAAAAGATATCATGATGCTAACGCGAAACGCCGTGCCAAAAACAACGAATCCATGCGAATGCCAACCGGACCCAGGGTATTCAGAGCTCGTAGCGCAGCGTAACACAACAGTCCAGCAGCCGCCTAAATAAACGCCCTCGACCTGATTACAACACGAACCGTCCTCTTCCTCTTGATAGTACCAGTACCCGTAGCGCCGATGCCGCCAACAGCGCTATCCTCATCGTCACCGGGTGTAGCCTCGTCCTCATCATCCGTAATCTCTACATCCATTTGCTCGCCCTCAAGTGGGGGACCATCTGGCGCATTATTTCCCAGAACCTTTGCCAGGGTATTATACTCCTTCTCGTCCAACTCCACCACTTGCGTAACAGGAGCAGCAGGAGGACCAGCAGCAGCACGCCGCCACTGGTAGTTCCTGACTGCGTCATCAACAACTCTCGTTGCAAAGCCCTCTTCTTCTTCCAACGGCGGGCTCAGCTTCATGATAGGATACCGGGATCTCCATGCTCCCCTCCCCTCAGAGATCCCATCTACTACAAAAAACCCTTCTGACCGCTGACACGACGGAGACCGGAGCGAAGACTGCCGCCGTACTTCCCTTTGTCGGCTGCAGAGACTTCGCCCATTTCGCCCATTAGGAGGCCGATGGAACTTCCTCGTCGTGAGCGCGTGTCCCCAGCCTCACTTGCTGGTGCTCCGGGGACGCCGAGGGCGCTACGGCGCTCAACACGGAGGTTCTTCCAGCCTTCGAGTTCGCGCTCGAGACGCAGAGTCTTCTCTCGTTCTTCGCGAAGTTCGCGCTCGGCGCGCTTAGCGGCGAGTTGGTTGGTCGAGTCAGAGGACTGGAGGTCATCGATGGTGGCCAGGAGGCTGGAGATCTTGTCGCGCGACTTGTTGAGGTCGTCCATGACAGACGCATTCTGCTTGTCGCGGCGCTCGATTTGAGTCTGTAGGTCCTTTACCGTACGGTCTACGTTGCGGACGCTACGCGATTCGGAGAGGCGAGTGGATTCACTGTCCTCTAGGGCTTTTTCGAGCTAGTGGAAAAGTTAGCAGCGGCCGACAATGTAGATAAGTCTAAAGAAGATTAACATACCTCTTGAATGCGTCCATGGAGGAAGCGGACGTCCTTGCCAGCTGAGCCGCTGTAGCCCTTCGTCTCGAGATCGACCAGGCGAAGTTGCAGGTCCTTTAGGCCCTTTTCGACAGCTGCCTTGTCCTTGTGAAGCTTCACGTTGGCTTCCCGTTCAGCTACGATGTCCTTTTGCAGCTCTTGGGCAAGAGCCTCTGCGCGGCGCATCTTGCCCACCGCAGCAGCAGTAATGTCCTCCTGTTGTGCCAAGCCGGATTTGAGCTCCAACAAGTCACGGTCGTAAGCAGCGGCATTGCGCATAGCTGGAGATTCTGAGCGAGAGAGTTCATCGAGCGTATCAGCAGCTTCTTGCAGACGCGATTCGAGACGCTTCTTCTCCTCGATGGCGGAGTCGCGCTCGGCTGCAAGGTCATCGACGTTGGTGCGCAGATTCCGGACCTGTGATAGCAGGCTGACGATCTTGGATTGCGCTTCGTTGTGCGCGTTGGCGGCTTCGTCGCGCGAATTAGAGATAGTTTGCAGAGTCATCTCAAGACGGCTCTTCTCCTTTGCCCAGGTTGAAGAGTTAAGCAACTCGTCGTCCCATTTGTTCCTCAGCTCCTCAATCTCTTCCCGTAGTCGGCCATTCTCTTCGCGAACGTGGATTACGTTCTCGCGCTCCTGGTCGATTTCCTGGGTGAGGGATGCCAGCTCGGACTGGTACTTCTTGCGTGTTTGCTCAAGCGAGGTTTCGCTGTCCTCGACGTCATGAGCGTGCTGACTTCTGTAATCTTCGAGCTCGTTCTGTAGTCGTTTCTTGGCTTGCAGAGCTGTCTGTAGGTCGGTTGAGAGGTCTTCAACACGTTCGTCGTACCGTTGAACTGTTCGCTGCAAGTCCTCGACCATGCCGTCCATCTCCTTCCGCTCAGCCATGATGGTTGCGCAAGTTTCTTCGGCTTCCCGAGCTTGGGTCTTTGCGAATTGCTCCGCACGAGATGCTCGCAGTACGGCAATCTCCGCTTGTTCCAACTTGCTGAAGTATTCGTCGGCCCTGCTCTTGTACAGGTTTAAGCTGGACTGTACATCGACCAATGTCGATGTCTCGTTGTCCAGTCGGATCTGAAGATCAGCAAATTCTTGGAGAAGCTGGTTATGGTTAGCGTGCTCTTGCTCTCGCTCGTTGGTGAGATCTTCAAGCTCGGCTTGCATCTCGCGGAGCTCAGACTCTAACGAGACCTTGACCTGCTTGATGTCGTCAAAGGCCGTCTTGGCGTCTGCCAGTTCGTTGATGGCGGTGTTGTGAGCCTGTACAATTGATTTACGCGATTGCTCTTGGGATGTCAAGAGATCGAACAGCTGTTCATGAGACTTCGTCTGGACTTCCTGGTAGGAGAGTTGGCCGGAACGAAGGCTATGCTCAAGGGCAGATACTTTAGTAGCAGAGTCGTCAAGCATGTCATGCAGACGGTAATTCTCGCGCTCCAATTTTTGCACCCTTCGAACAGAGGGGCTGTCATCCTGCCATCCGTTACGCTCAGGCGAGCGTCCAAGCTGTTCTTGAAGGTGTTTGTTCTGCATCTCTGACATCTGCAACTGGTTCTGCACCATCTCGAGCTCGGCAGCCATGTCCATGCGGTTGTTGAACGCGACTGTGTCAACAGTCCGATCGGAACGTGCGGAGTCGTGCGTGGCATTGCTGATGTGTCGCTGGTTGGTAGGAGTGTTCGTGATGGAGAATGGCCGCTTGTTCTCGCTGTCCTTGCGGTTGTGAGTAGGTGTTTGACGTGCATTGGCTTGGTTGACTTGGCTGCTGTTCATCTCCTCTAGCAGAGCACGCTTCGAGTTGGCATGGCGTGCATCCATGTCATGAAGCTCGCCCTCATGCCTTTCTCGGAGCTCGTCAAGCTGAGCCTCAGCACGCGAGTATCGCTCTGATGCTACGCGCAAAGCTTGGTTCGCGGCCTCCAGGCGCTCGGCAATGTCCACCGTTCTGACAATGTCAGGCTTCGCAGCATCGTAAGTGATTGCAACATCGGCCGAGTCTGGGTCAAAGACCTTGCGAAGAAGCATAAGCTGTCGATGGCATTCCTCCAACTCCTGGTTGGTGTTGTCAAGCGATGTCTGAACCGCCTTTGTGTTGGCTTGAGCTTGTGTACGTAGCTGGCGTTCAGTCTCGAGCTTGCGGTTGACATCTGCGAGTTGTAAGTTGACAGTAGAGGCGGCCTGCTCTGCGTTGCGGCTTGTTTTGTGCTCTCTTGCAAGCTCATGGTTGAGGTCCTCAAGGCTGAGCGACAACTTCTCTTTCTGCTTCTCCAAGGACGCGATCGTGAGCTGTGCGTCTTCGAGCTGACGGTAGAGGCGCTTGTTGTCTTCCTCAGCCTTGGACTTCTCGTGAGTCAGCTGGGTGATCTTCACACGCTGAGTGTCGCCGGCTCGCGAGTTTGATCGCGCAATGTCCAAGTTCTTTTGCTGAAGTTTGTTGAGGAGTGCACGGTTGTCGTTCTCCGATGCTGTAAGTCTTCCCTTGATGGTGACTATCTCGCGTTCGAGACGCTCCTTTTGCTGGTCGTTGCGCTCCTTGAACGAGTCTGAGTCGGCGAGCATCTGCGTCAAGTTGTGAACCTGTTCGGCCAAATCATCCCGCTCTGCCTCGAGTTGGTCAAGCTGTTGGTCCTTCTCTTCCAGCTCGCGTTGCTGGATGGCCTGTCGTTCGGAAGCTAGCCTTGACTGGGCACGTTCGGCTTCAGCATCGGCATCCAATTTCTGCTCCTCCAGCTTGAGGTATTTCTCGCGAAGACTGCGGAGTTCGTTCTGGTACTCTTTCCGTTCCTTTTCGTGTGCGGTGCGAGTTTCCGTGGCTCGTCGAAGAACATCCTGCTGAGCGTACATTTCCTTCTCAATAGTGATCTTGGATTCGTTCAACGCATCGTAGTCGCGCTTGAGTGTGTCGTATTTGTGCTCTCCAAGCATCTCAACATCGTCGCGCGATTGTCTTTCCCGACTGAGCTCCTTCTGAACAGCAAAGAGCTCAGCCTTGAGGGCTTCCGTCTGCTCTTCCAGCAGCTTCCGGCTTTCGCTGTACTCAGCGTCCTCGGACATCTTCTCCTCAAGTAGACGTTTGGCATCTGCTGCTTCACGTTCGAGCTGTTCCTTTTGGGAGCGTACAGCATCCAGCTCCGCCTTTGCGTCACGGAGGCGGCTTTGAAGATCGTCGTGCTTGGAAGCCAAGGTTCGCTTTTCATCGTCAAACAGCCGGCGGTCGTTTTCGTAGCTCTTGAGGTCGGTCTTCAGGATTGCGAGCTCGCTCTCCTTACGTCTGATGAGATCTTCATAGCTAGTCGATGTCGACGACAGATCCGCGATTTGGTTACGGATTTGCCGATTCTCATCGAGGAGTTCCTTGATCTGATTCTTGCCGGCCTGTACCTCCTTCTGTGAAGCTGCCAACTTGATGTCGAGGTCCTGGTCTGTCTTGAGAAGTTTATGTTCGAGGTCCTCAAGCTTTCGTTCCTTCAACGACAGGTGGCTCTTGAGCATCTTGATCTCCTGGTTCATTGTCTCCTCAGCCTGGCTTCTTTGAGACTGCTTGACCTCAAGCTCTTTGAGCTGCTGATCCAGGCGAGCGTTCTGCTCTTCTAGATCCTGTGTTTCGCCCTCGAGCTTGCTGATAATTTGCCCAGCTTGTTCCAGCTCTTTGCGCAGATGTTCGACGTCCTCCTCAGTCCTCCTCTTCGCTTCCATGAGATCGTCTAGCTGGTCTTCAAGTTGATCCTGATCTTCGATAGCACCAGCGAGCTTTTCGGAAAGCTCAGTCTCGCGGAGCTGAAGACGTTTGAAGATCTCTTCCTTGTCCAAGGCAAGCGCACGTTCGCTCTCAAGCGTCTTTTGGATGCGTTGGATATCCATTTCTGCGCGTCTTCGCTCGTCCTCAACCCGTTGTCTTTCGGCAGCTTCTTGTTGCATCTTTTCCTCAAGCTGGTGGATCATCTCGTCGCGCTTCTTGACCTCTGCTGCTTGACGTGTCGCACCAAGCATAGGCCTCATGCGTGCGAAGAGCCTCCACCATGGGTTCGACTGCATATCAAGGTAGACCTGGAAGTTGCGCTGAATGATCCGAGTGGCCTCGGCTCGATAGAGACGCTTGTGGGCTAGACGGCGTTGCACAAATCCACGAGCTGCAGACTGGAAACGAATCATGATATCGCGGATGAGCGCATCGCGTTGATCTTCGAGTTCGGCAAGGACACCAGCCCTGAAAAAGACCTTTGTGATTCCGACACGGTACAATGACCTGTCAAGGTTGATCTTTTCGAGGATCATGTTGGCCGCGACCTGCCCTTCGAGATAGCCCCTGGGGAGATCTCTGCAGAGTACCTCGTATCTCTGGCGGAATTCCACGAACGGAAGTCGGTTGGGGAAACCAGTACGTGCGATACGTATACCTTCCAGAACACCATTGCAACGCAACTGGTCAAGGACAAGAGGTGCACTGAATTGCTTTGGTCGTTTCTTGTGATTTGGAAGAATACATCGGACGAAATGGGGGTGGGTGGAGTGGAGCTGGGTCATGAGTGTCGACAGTTGCTCTTTGTGGCGTTGAGCGACGGTACGGAAGAGACCCTTCTTGACACGGCTACGGGCTCCGCCCATGCCATCGTCCGCATCAGCACAGTCAACAAAGAGATTGGCGATTTGCTTGTCAGCGGAGCCAGCCAAAAGGCGAGTGACGTTGTCGTTCAACGGGTCCTTGTTCTTTTCCAGCCAGTTCTCCGTCGAGTACTCTACTTCGGCAGCGTAGTGGGTAAGGACGAAACCTTGAGTAAGGAGTGATCGCTTGTACTTGGTGCTCTTGCGGTCCCATAACGAATGCAGCTTCTCTGTGAAGCTCTTGTCGGTGGCTTTGGGCATAACACTGTCCTCGTCCAGGCAGGAGAAGATACCAATGGGGTTTGGTAGCTCGATCAGGTCGATTGTCGGCTGGAGATCGCGGCCAAAGTCGATGAACTTCCATTCGATCTGTTCGCGTGCGTATTCTTCTTGTTCTAGAACGAACATGTGGTGGTTAAAGAATTGTTGTAGCTTCTCATTAGTGTAGTTGATGCAAAGCTGTTCGAAGCTGTTCTCATCGAAGATTTCGAAACCGGCAATATCCAGCACGCCGATGAAATGTGAGTCGTCTCCACCACCGCCGGTCTGGTCGAGTTGGCGATTGATACGGTCGACGAGGTCACCGAAGCCACGCTCATATATACCCTTTGCGAGGGCGTCGATAGAGAGATTGACTTGCTCGGGTGTCTGGACCTTCTCAACCCACTCTCTGCCGGCCTTCACACGAGGATGTAGAAGGGCCTTGATGAAGTCATCGGCGGAGATGCCAAGTAATTGGGCGACTATCTGAGCTTGCTGCTCAGCTGCAAGATTCAGTGTAGCCTGGTCTGCCCGCCGACTCTCCTTGACAGCCCGGATGTTGCCGAGGTGCAGGACTGCAGCGACTGTCTTCAAGATGGCCGATTGCTCCTTGTCGGTAAAGCCCATGACATGGAAAGCTTCAATCAAGCCATTCCACTCATCTCGGTCATCCACACCGGAAATTACATCGTTGCCATGCCTTGTATATTCAAAATCGTCTGTGTCTTTGTTGTCCAAGAAGAAGTCCTGCTTCATCTGGCTCTGTGCGCCGCGCAGCAGCTGATAGAAGACGTGGTAGTTGCGCTCGTTTGAGTTGAGACGCACGACTCTTGACTTCTCCAACAGATACCAGTCTATGTACGCGCCAGCAATGTGTCCGGTGCGGGAGAATTCGATCCTGATGAACTTTCCGAAACGAGACGAGTTGTTATTCCGCACCGTTTGCGCGTTACCGAAGGCTTCGAGGATGGGATTGGCTCGTAGTATCTGCTCGGACAGGTTGGAGAGGTGGCGGCCTCCTGACTTTGCCCGTGGGGTTTCCGAGTTGGCGACGGCGGCTAGGTACTGGATGACCTTCTTGGTGTTCTCCGTCTTACCAGCACCGGATTCTCCGCTGTAGGGGGTCAGTTACGGTTGGTCTCAATGTTGGGCTAACTCACGTCACAAGAATACTCTGGTTGGTGCCTTCCTCTATGAGATTCCGGAAGGCATGATCAGCCATGGCGAAGATATGCGGCTTGGTCTCCTCCCGACTCCGCCCCCGGTACATGTTGATGTACTCTCGCGAGTAGATGGGCAGCGGGCAGTAGGGGTTCACGGTGACGAGAAAGAGTCCGGAGTAGGTGTATATCAGGTCGGCCTGGTATCGCATGTGGAGGTTGTGGATGACCGAGGGCTCGTTGAGATGCGTGAGTTCCGCCATGTCGTCGGCCTTGTCGAACTTGGCCGGATTGACCTTGTCGATGGCGTCGGCGTCGACGTCTTGCTGTGTGCCATTGTCGCATTGGACCAAGATGCGTCCGCCCGGCAGGTCCTCGACGACCCATCCGCGGACGAAGGCCGTGACGGGATCCCTAAGCCAAACATAGCGCTTGCCGGAGAAGTCGTTCTCGCCTTCCACGATGCCACCCAGGCGCGGAGCAGCGTCGTCGTCCTCGGAGATGAACTGCGGGGCAAAGGTGCCGACGGGCGTGCTGTTGCGGTTCGAGTTGGAGCGCAGGCGTGCCGAGTCACTGCGGCCCAGCGGCGGGCTGGTGAGGTTGGTGAGGGAGCGGTTGCGCAGGTGGCCCATGGGGGAGTCGTCGGCGTCGTGGAGCGGCGAGGAGACGGAGTTCCTGGCAAAGGGAGTGCCGCGCGAGTTGCGGGCGAAGGGTCGGCCATTCGGCGCGGGCCCGTTCGCGCTCATGGTGGTGAGTGGTGGTGGTGTTGTCGTGGTGCAGTCGTCGTCGTATCCGAAGGGGTCATTTGGGCTTAGTTGATTGACATTGCCCCAGTATGTACAGTAGTATGCGGGGACGCGGGTGCAGACATGCAAAAGGAACCCTAGGGAGGCTTTGCTGGTACAGACGCTGCACGTAAAGTTGTTGTAAACAATGACAGCCGCTGGGGCCCCTAGCAACAGCCGGGGTCGTGATTGGGTGGAGCGTGCACGGACACTTCTCGATACTGTCGCGATGCATAATATCTCACGAACTGCCCACGCTCCTCCATCACCGCGCGTCATGGCAAACAACTACGCGCATCCCCCGCCCATGCAGCAGCTGCCGGGCATCCCGGGCATCAACCTCGCCCCGTATGCGCAAAACGGCCAGCAGCCCCCGTTCCCTGCCTTTCCTCCGCCCGATGCCAATCTTTGGGCGCTCTTCCAGAGTGGCTCCTTCCCTCCAGGTGCCCAAAACCTCCCGCCGCCGCCGCCCTTTCCCAACATGGCCTTTCCCCCACCGTCGCTGCCTCCCCAGCCTCCACTGCCCGAGCGCGTACAGGAAGTCACGGACAGCGACCGTGAAGATGGCGAGCTGAGTGAAGGCGACAGTCCGCCGTCGCTCATGGACAAGCTACAGCAGGATCGCGACGCGGCCAAGCAGTTCATTAAGCTTCTGCACAGCAACAACGTCTCTTACAAAGCCCTCGCCAATGAGCAGCTAGACCCCGAGCTGCTGAGGGGCCTATACCAGAGCGCAAACCTGCCGTCGGAGCCTGCGCCCATCCTGCCACCCAAGGCCAACGATGCCGTCTCCAAGGCGCCCGCCGTCCAGCCAGTGACTCCCGTCGCGCAAGATGCGCCCAAGTCTGTCGCGTCGCCAAGCACTCCGGGTAATCGTCAGGATTACATAGCACGTCTCCAGGCCGCAAGGGCTGCGAAACAGGCCGCCGCCGCCAAACCCACCACGCCTGCGCCAGTCACCAAGACGCCCCAGCCTGCGACCCCGCCGGCTGCTAAGCCGCCTGTGACAGACGAGCAGAGGGCGCGCAATACCGAGTTGATCAAGCAGCGCTTGGAAGCCATCAAGGCGAGACAGAAGCCGCCAGTCACGCCCGGCGCGCATACCCCCACAAGTGCCGCCTATACCCCATCTTTCTCTGCCATTCCAGGCCTTTTCATGGGCGCGTCTTCGGCGTCCAATACACCTGCTCCTGCCGCTCCTCAACCCGTATCCCTACCACCTTCTGCTCCCGATACACGGCCTCTGGGCCAGTCTCCGCATGCTGACCATGAAGATGATTCAATGATAATAGATGTTAGCGAAGACGAGTCCAACGGCAGCGATATGGATATTGATGACGACCAGCCCGCTCCTCAGGCAGGCCAGAATTCGCGTCAGGCTCCTGGCACCCTTCCCAACTTCCACTCCGGCGCGATGCCAGCAACACCATCAGCCGCTGCTGTCGGTACCTCAGGCGCAGAAACACCCAACACAGTCGCGCGCGAGAAGGAGCTAGTGGACAAAGAGAAGCAGTTGGTGGCTATGCGCGAGACACTCAAGAAGAAGCTCGCTGAAAAGCGAGAGCGGGATAGGTTGGCAGCAGCTGCCAGCGCCGCAACATCACCGTCCACGAGCCAAAAGACTTCGACGCCAGTGCCATCTCTCCAGGCCTCCACTCCATCTTCGCTTCCCACATCCACGACCCAGTTTGTGTCATTCCCATCACATTCAAAAGACACAAATCGTCTTCGCCGGGCGGAGATCCAATCTAAGCTGCCTACCCTGGATGCCGAGATTGCAAGTAACGCGAGTAGGATGGCTCAGCTGACCAAGGAATTGGAGCAGCTAACGGCGCAGAATGAGAAGATTGCAAGGGACAAGGAGCAGCTGACCAAGGAGCTGGAAGATCTGGGTGTCGATACAGAGGGCATGTCTCATGCGCAATTACGGGCCAAGAAGGATGAAATCGAAGGCGAGCAGTCTTCGGATTCGAACTCCCCATCTAACCAAACGCAACCTGTATCGCAGCCTGCACTCAAGGATGCTTCACCGGTTTCACTTCCAGCTTCAAACCAACATGCTTCAGTACCGATGGCACTTCCTGGACTTGGACAGGACACGGTTGAGCCCGAGCAGGAGAGTTATGAGCCCCCCGAGTTGCCAGAACAGGTCATGCCTGTAGAAGGTGCCTTCAACCCAGCAGCATCACAGATACACTCTGACCCACAGGATTCGCCTGCCAACGGCATCAGGACCCTGAATCCTTCAGCACCGGCCTTTGTCTCGACAGCTCAGCAGAACCAACTTGAAAATACACAAAGTGATTCATCGAGAGCTGATGCCAATGTACAAAATGCGCTCGACGTAGCTAAGGCCAACGCCAGCGCTGCTGTAACCCAAGGGATTCAGCAACCTGTCACAGCGCCTTCACCTTCAGAAGAAGGAGAAGTCGACATGTCTGTTTCCGAAGGTGATGAAGACGAGGAAGAAGAGGAAGAGTACGAGCCGGAATACGAACCAGAAGAATCTGTCGTTATCCCCAAAGTACCCGTGGAAGAAGACGTGGAATTGCAGACCAAACCCGAGTATTCGCTCGAAAGTTCGCAAGCCTCTCCGCAAGAAGAAGAAGCCTACGAACCACCCGACGTCGACGAAGAAATTCCAGACGTCCAGGCCGGCGAAGAATCCACTGCAAATCAGTACGAACCTGCGGCTCAAGCTGAAGCGGAAGATGGCGCCATGGATATTGCTACATCATCTGATGAAAGCTCGGACGATAGCGAGTCAGACGACGAATCTACCCCAGAGCCGGAAATGGGGAAGTCCATTTCAGCGTACAACCCGTTACACCAAGACGCTGGAATCGCTGATGATCTAGCGCCCGAGCTTCAGCCAGAGGTAACGTCTTCGGCGACCACTGGCGGACCTGTACGTCAACCACCATACCGGAGGCCTAGCTAATGCAGACCAGGTGCCTGAGGTGTCCGAACAGGACGAAGAACCCGAACCAGCCAGGTTTACTCCGTACGAAAGCCCGCTGCGAATGTTCAAGTCCTATCGCTATCATCCCAATTATGCTCAAGATATAAATGGTGGCTTCCTGTCCCTGACTTTCAGCCATCAGATCAACCCAGAGAAGCCGCTGTGCCAGTACGAACTAGCTGGCGGCGCATGCAATGACCCTGAATGTCCCGATCAGCACTTCAGGGAAGTTGCTATTACTGGTGCGTTGGGAGAGGCGTTTTAGTCTTGATTTCCGTTGTTTTCATTTACCACGGCTATACCTGCGCGGAAACTGACTTATGAAACAATAGGTGACAAACTGCTCGTCCAGCTCGGCACAGCGAACCCAGGCAAGACCTCCGAGGAAAAGCAGCGCTGGAATGACGGTCTCCGCGGCGTGCTCAAGGAACTTCGTCAGAAGAACATCAAAGACCCCAACGGCATTGCTGTGGAGATAGCGAGATATCGCCGTCAATTCCTCAACGACGATACTCGTGTCGTCAACTTGTAATACTTCTTAGCTTCCCTCTCCGTTCTAGGCCCTGCCTCAGAACAAGCGAGGGTGGCTTCTCATTCATCATTCCCTCCATTGCTACTGACCTTGATCACATCCACTCAGCAGTCCGCTTCTCTTTGCGTACCCTTCATCGGTAAAAAGCTGCGACATTGGGGGCGTATCAGCAACTCTCCATCTCTCGACTGTAAGCATCGATACCCTTTCTCTGCATTGGCGTGGAGTTCACGGCTTGGGGTCTTCGTTTCTTCTTCGACCCACCATCTATCTTTATTGGATGAAACTTGGGGTACTAGGACACACTCTAGCCCGTCCACTAGCAACCTGACCTGGTACGTATTGCTGCCAGCTGCTGCGCTCGGACAATTGAGATTCGGTCATCTCGGTGGAAGAGCGAGTGGGTGGCAGCTGCGCGGATATGGTTGGGGCGGTGGTCGTGGTCTTGACTTAGTCTACGTAGGCAACACGAATGCACATTTCTTCTGTCAAACCTTTATTATTACACGAATGCAAATTCATTTTGTCGAACATATCTCTTCACATATATACTTTGCACTTGAATGAGGAATAGGATACAGCAATTGATTCTCGTCAAACTACCCTAATCCTTCTCCATCATTTACGTTCTGAACACACAACAATCTAGTTGGAGATACCAATAACACCGCAAGCAGGACGAGGACCAGCATTACCAGTCTTCTTGGACTCCTCGTGTCCGCCCTTGCCGAGGTCGTCAGTTCCAGCGTGAACGACAATGGTGCGGCCAATGACGCTCTCGGAGCCAATCAACTTGATCAGCTTGTCCGTGGTGCTACCCTGAGCGTTGCCCTGGCCGTCGGTCTTGAAGTTGCCCAAGTCACCGACGTGGCGCTCGTCGTCTTCGGGCGCACCGTGCGTCTTGTTGTGGGGGTTGACTGGACGGTGGTGTTAGTACGGGTATGCATCTCGGCGGCTAGATCTGCAAGGTGGGTGTTCCTGCGTATCCGGTGCAGGGTTGTTGGGGTGTAGGTGTAGGTGTGGGTCTGTACTCACAGTGAGGACCAGCAGACGTGCAACCGTTCGTGTTGTCGCCGAAAGCGTGAACGTGCATGCCACGCTCAGCATTGGCGTCGTGGCCGGTGATGTTCCATGAGATGGTAGTAGGGGCGGACTCGTCGGCCTGCTCAAAGGTGACGGTTCCCTTGACGTTCGAGTCTCCACGGAGGACGGCGACTATAGCGTTTGCGTTAGCATATTTGATCTCCTCAAGGGTCCTAAGCCTCAATCCAAGCTTCTGTAGCGCGTTGATGCGCGTGCAGTGTAGCGGAAGGCCATCAGGGTGTCTCGCAGCCGGCGAGCTGATTGGAGAAGTCCAACGACAAGCCCCAGGTACCAACTGACAGCATGGTACTCCTTGTGGTTCCCAAAGCTGTCCAATTGACCTCTTCGAACGTTACGATACGCCTGAGTACCGTGTCGTCGCAAATAATCTGCTCAATCTTACGCAAGGAGCTGACCCCACCTTCCCGCAAGAGGGCAAGCTCGTGAAGCTACTCTAAACATACGTACCGGCTTTGACCATTGTGACGGTTATGTGATGGGTATTGATGGTATTACTTGTGTATTTTGCGATCTGTGACAGAAAGAGGCGTTGTTGGGGAGGAGATGGGAGGGAATGTAACAGCTGGCTAGAGGTGAGCTTTGAAGCCGCCTCCACCGGCCGAATGCGGGGCTGTAGTGACGCAACGGTCTCTAACGCCGGGCCAGATCCGACGAATGATTAATAGCCCTGAGGGCCCATCACTTGACATGGTTTCCATCGTTTTCTTACACTTTCATGACGTTGAAGGTTTCAGCATATCACGGAGAGGACGGAAAGATAGTGTTTTACATCTGATGTCAATTTTACTATCTATTCATTGGAAGCCAGCCCATCATGTCTCATATCAAAACCGAAGAAAGCCGTAAGAGTGTTCAGATGCTCGGTGTATCTCCCTTGTCGGATTATACACTCTATGCCGCCTGGATCTTCTTGCGGAGGATGTCCTTCAGGGTAACGGCGTCAGCGGCGAATTTCGAGATACCCTCGCGGAGCTTCTCGACGGCCATCTGGTCCTCGTTGAAGAAGAAGCGGAACTCGGCCTCGTTGTTGATGTAGCTCTTCTTCTCAATGTCGAGCTTGCTGGCATCCTCGGCGATGAGCTTCTTGGGGACGTCGTCTTGTGAGTTGTACAGCTCCTCGAGCAGGTTGGGCTGTATTCGTTAGTCAAATGTGCAGGGATAGTGCCTGCGATTGGTACTTACAGCAATGGTCAGGTAGTCGCAACCAGCGAGCTCGGTGACCTCTCCGACGCTGCGGAAAGATGCGCCCATGACGATGGTCTTGTAGCCGTGCTTCTTGTAGTAGTTGAAGATTTGCTGGACGCTCTTGACACCGGGGTCCTCCTCCTTGGAGTACTCCTTCTTGGTCGAGGCCTTGTACCAGTCGAGAATACGGCCAACGAAGGGAGAGATGAGGAAAGCACCGGCCTCGGCAGCGGCGATGGCCTGGACCTGGGAGAACATGAGGGTCAAGTTGCAGTTGATTCCGTGCTTGGATTGCAGGATCTCAGCAGCCTTGATTCCCTCCCATGTGGACGCGAGCTTGATGAGAACGCGCTCCTTGTCGATACCGATCTCCTTGTAGAGGTCGATGATGTGCAGGGCCTTGGCTACTGACTCCTCGGTGGAGAAGGAGAAGCGCGCATCGACTTCTGTCGAGACCTTGCCGGGGACAATCTGGAGGATCTCCTTGCCAAACTGTACCAGCAGGTTGTCAAGGGTAGTGTCGACCTGGTTCTCGAGGTCGGTGCCGTTCTTCTTGCCGTATGCGACGGCCGCATCGATCAGCTTCTCGTACTCGGGCTTCTTAGACGCGGCGAGGATGAGCGAGGGGTTGGTGGTCGCATCCTGGGGCTGGTACTTCTTGATGGTAGCGAAGTCACCGGAGTCGGCGACAACGGTCTGCAGGGACAGTCGGTCAGCTATAATTCTTCCGCAGGCTTGGTGTTGCGCATGTGAATACTCACGGTGCCGGAGGCCTTGAGCTGTTCGAGGGAGCTAGGCATTGTGATGGGTATATGTGTATGGAATTGGGATTGAAGGTTTGTTGCAAGTGTTTGTGAGAGCACTTGATATGTAGTAGAAGTGAGGAAAGTTGTCGACTGATGTGATGTAAAAGTGTTGTTGGGCCAGCTGCATGGGTGGGGCCTTTCATACGTAGCGCCCCTCACCTTCCGGCCCCTCCATGGAAAAATAGCGTCACCGGTGGCAATGGCGGCAGAAGTCAAGCTCAGTCAGCGGTGAGGGTCCTTTCGAGTAACCGCTAGCGATCAGAAATTTTGCCGCTCTCGGAGCACTGTCGTCCGGCCCATCCATCAAGACGCGCTTCGGGATGAACGTGGCTGGACGCGATGCCTGAGCAGATCCCACGTGGCGGCACTCGGAGCAGAGTAATGCACTGTCATATGATTGAGGAAGCTTGTTCTACCAACAACCCACGGCTATACACTATCGCGATGGTATTATTAGCTTATCATCGCGAATTCCCGCGGACATATCCAGGGCACTTCGGCCAAAAGGCCGACGTCAGGCTTCTCCATGTTGATGGCTGTATATCACAACTTTGCTTTGCCAGTCGTCTTGCCCCATCCGTCTTGGTTCAGCCATCCGTACACCTCCTTGTATTGTTCCTGGAGATTGCTAACAGTATGACCTGCTCCGCTCGGACCTGGATCGTTCTGTATTGTCAATTGTCAGCATACAGTCACACACTCGGGTGGATGTTTTCCATCAATACGTACGAATGCCTCCACTAGTCTCGTCTGCTTCGCGCCCACCTCAAGGATTGTGCCTCCGCCCAAATCAGCTTCTTCCAAGCATCTCAACATGGCGACCGCCACTTCTTCGGGTGTCGCCCACGCATCCTTGGTCTCGTCAATGAAGGTCATTTTCTCCGGATGCTCGGTCCACAGTGGTGTCTTGATGACGCCCGGAGCGACGGCATTGACGCGAATGTTCATCTCCGCTTCGAGCGTACCCAGAGACCGTACAAAACCGTTCATCCCGTGCTTGGCCGCCGTATATATCGGCGCATGGAGGTTGGGGTTCTGACCTGCAATACTAGAGATGATGATGACTCTCTTCGGATTCTGCGCACTCACTCTATCTACACCAGGAGGTGGGTTGAGAAAGTGCGATATAGCGAGCTGGGTCGTGCGGATGGGATGCGTCACGTTGATGTCGAGAGTCGCGTATCGTCCCCCGTCCGCCTTGTCTCTGCTCGCGCCGCCATCAACGCCTGGAGGATGCCAGAAGTTACTCCAGTGGGGATCGTAGATGCCTGCTCCTGGACATACAATGTCGACTTTTCCGAAGTCCTTTATTCCTACTTCGAACATGCGCTCCAGTTGTGGCCAATCCGTGACATCGGTCTTGAGAAAGACGGCTCGTGGTCTCCCTTGCTCTTTTGTACTGTATTCTTTGACCAGTTGCTCTGCTTCCGGGCGAAGCGAAAGATCGGCTATAAGGACGGAGCAGCCATGGCTGAGAAGCAAGGCTGCAAAAGAGAAGTTGATACCTGATCCCGCACCAGTGACTATGGCGCTTTTGCCTTTGACACTGAATGCGTTTCCGGGTTTCGTCAGGTTGGTCAATCCTGGTTGTCTTGCTGCCATGGTTATCTTGAACCTCCTTGTCACCTTGCTCGAATGAATAACCACAAGAACACATATCTCACGGTCGTCAACATGGCTATATATGCTACCTAAGTACACGCTGTCCAGCATTCACGCGTCTAACCAGCGCGGGATTGCCTCATTGGGTAACGAGAGGGGTAGTTGTGGGGTAACTCGCACCGAGCACTCTCGTAGGCGGGGAAGGTTTGCCGAGCTTGAACCCTCGTACACTATGGAAGCTCGTATTCTCTGAGTCGTTTTAGATCGTACCACGCTGCAAGTAAATACTCCCTTCTCAAAAAGGACAGGGCATATTCGGCATTGGCATCGCACTTGATTTGGGATATCTTGAGTATGAACAATGTTTGCACTAAAACTACGATTATGTACACGCCAACCAGCCAGACAGTTTCGAAGCTGCCATATTTGGGATATCAATGTATACCAAGCACCACCTAACGCCATATGTGCCAGAAGTTCTAATTCCGTTTCCTCAGCTCACTGCGCTCCTGCCCATCGATCCCGCTAGTTCGTGGAAGAGGTTCGCCATTGCCCGTGCCTGAGACGTGGCTCAGCCGAATCAGCTCATCCATCATAGCATCTCTTGTCTTCTTGAGCAGCTCATCGACGTGCTCTGGTCCCTTTCCTTTTGTTTGTATTGGCGGCAGGACTGTTACATCCACCACGCCTGGGGTAAACCTCTTGCCCTTTACGTCTAGGACGTGGTAGTAGTTGCCAACGACGACGGGCACGATTGGGACTTGTGCTTGTACGGCAAGATGGAAGGCGCCTTTCTTGAAGGGTAGAAGTTCAGGCTTCGAGGCGTAGGAGCGCGTGCCTTCGGGGAAGATGAAGACATTCTGGCGTGTAGTCTTCATGGTGTGTGCGGCAGTGTCGAATGCGGCGCGGGAGGAGGTGCGGTTTGCGCGGTCTATGAAGACAGTCTTGGAGAGAGCCATGAACCAGCCGAGTAGGGGAACGTATTTCAGCGACTTCTTGGCCGTGACGGACGTGTATTTGGGGAACATGCAGCCGAGCATGAGGACGTCGAGTTCGCTGCAAGAAGTGTCAGCGCCGCAGTCAAGAGTTGGCCTAGCCAAAGGACCTGGTGAACCCACGTCTGGTGGTTGCCCACAAAAATAGCAGGACGGTCCCTGAGGGCGTCCTCTCCACTGAGACCGCCCTCTTTCTTCATGCTCCCGGTCACTCTGAATGTTACGCCGGTGCACAACCACATGACCCATTTGAACGCCCGCGCAACCGTCCACTGAATCAGTCCACCATAGCCCACAAGGCGTAGAGGTATAGCCACGAGGGTTCCGTACAGCGCGCAGCAGAGCATGAGGAGCATGGAGCTTATTGCGAAGGCGTAGTACGACACCAGCTGGGCGGGCTTCGCGGGCAGCACCAACGAGAGCAAGCGCATGGCGATGATGAGCGCGGGCGGCATGGCGGCGAGGTAGATGAGCCAGCCCATAGCGAAGGCTCTCGTCGGGGAGAGAGAAGAGGAGAGGAGGGGAGAGGGGTGCGTGTGTTTGTATGTGTTCGTATTGCGGGTTGAAGAGAGTCGGAGCTTGGTGGGGACATTTTTTGTCACGCGCCGAGGTTCGCACCACGCCTCGCCAACTCGCTAAATGTCATGTGTACCGCCATGCCATTCATCGTGACCCCGACTTTTCCACCACAGAATGCCCTGAGTTCGTCCGCACCAGCACGTCGTCTCTTCGCCGCCTTGACCAAGTCATCACTGCGACGCAAAAGGTCGTGATATATACAAGTAAGAGAGGAAGCAATATCCACCGCCAGGCTACCATGCAACCAAGCCTCGTTTTGATCTCGGCGGCTTGCGTTCCGTCAGCCAGAGGAAGATCTAGGACGGCCTTGAACCACGTCTCGGGCGTCCATCTTAGATACGGGTAATCGATGCCGACTGTGTTGGAGGCGATGGGTTCCTTGATGTGCTGACCAGTGGTCTGGTACGTCACTACGAAGACGAAGATGAACGCTGACAGGCAGAACACGCTTCCGAGCAACGACAGGACAGCAAGGGCGCTAACACTTTTTCGACCCTGCCATGACTATCAGTACGCTGTTCAAACAACTGTAAACATCTCATTTGCCATACCTGTCCAGTCTTTCTCATCCTCCATGCTGTCACCATGCCGAAAACGCCCAGGAAGAATCCATATACTGCTGCGCCGTTGCTCTCGTGCCCTTGGTCCGTCCACACATGCTTGGGTTCGACATTGATTTGGGTCGGATTTCCAGGCCAGTCCACATGATAAACATGCACCTGATGCTTTTGGTCATGTATCCAAGCCACCACAGAACTGATCAATCCGAATACGGTCATGGATAGAGCACAAAGTAAAGCGCTCGATGCGAACAGCAGCCAATTTATCTTTTGTCGTCTTGCCATCAATGTCATAGAGGCGGGCGCTGTGCGGGGAGAAGGTTGTAATAATTCCATGTTGACCGAGCGTAGGAGTGGGTATAATACGAGGAGAGGGACGAAAAAGCACTTCTCAACGGTTCATGCTCAAGTATTATACGCTTCAGATCTGGGGCTGAGTTTTTCCTCCCGTCATCGTGGCACACATTCGGGCTGGGTGGATGAGCTCAGCACCTTTGCAGCTTAGTTGTCGCAGCCTTGAACCACTTCAGGCACGCTACCTCTCTCAGATGTCTAATATTAGCAGAGAACATGGGATCATCAGCAAGCATGTCGGTATCTTGATGCTCAGTCTCCTACTCGTTCAGCTTGGCATGTTTGGAAACAGAGCGGATGACGCCAGGGGAGCCATGTTGGTCAGCTGTATCGAAGTAGGAAATATGCGCAATCCAGTATAAAATCCTGAAGATTGCCTGTCTCCGAAACAATGGTGAGATGACGCTGGTGCACTGTTTCTTGTTTCGAAACATGTCAATACTTGCGAAACTTGGTGGCCTCTGCGTTCACCGGGGAGCAGACAGTAGAACGGGGTAGATATTAGTGCACTCTTGGAACGGGAACGCAACTGCACAATTCGAAGCGCGTCTTGTTCCTCACCAAGAGGAAGCGGGAGTTAATGGGGTGTCTTTGGAGGGTCGTGAACGTATTGGTCGGGTTCCTGACGCGCTTCGGGTCGATCCTGCCCGCCTCGGAAGAGCTGGTGGAGCTGCTAGCCCAACCAACCACCCACATTTCCACGACGCGTCTCCGTACCCTGGACCCATCACTTAGGCCATCGACGAAGCATGAGTTTTCACACGTGCTGCAATTCTGCACTCGGCGGTAAATGAACGAGACGGCAAAGATACAGGCCGACAGCTCTACTCGATCGCTCTGTCTTTGACCCGTGATGCGACCTGCGGCACGTCTGGGCGGCGGCTACTCGTCACACACCAAACACGCGCGTTGACACACGGTACAACCTTTCGCGCTGCTTGCTCCAACAACCATGTACGATTCGATACGGAGGTGTTTACGTCCAACTTCTGCAGTAGGACCTGTGCGCATCCAACACAGTTTGACAACAATACTCTACGCCGGGTAGTATTCGCGTGACCCAGGCTCGCACATAGCGCGCAAGTGATTCAGCCATCCCTGATGCCATTCTTCGCGACAGTTGTTCGCATTCGGTCCGGTCCGCGCCTTGACTTTCCAGGCACCACGGCCGTCCCGAGGACCGGCATGAGGATGGGCGGCTATCGCATCGTCCACCTACAATCCATCGCATATGGGGAACGCAGAGCCAATACTCTAGGTTGCTAACGATTACACTTCCATCGTCTTTACCCAATGTGTACTTGGTCTGATAGCAAGCACGAGCCGAGATCCAGGCAGACCCCAGCCGTGGTGGGTGTTCGATTGGATATCGAGCTGTGGTTAGAGAACGGCATAGCTAAAGCGATATGCAAGCACGGCACATACTTCTCATGAACTCAACAGGTCATGAGCAAACGTTTATATCCCTTCATGTGGGACTATTTCTGGTATGCGGCACTCATTGTTTTTACTCACTCTCTAATCTCTCATTCGCTTCCTGCAGCCCTGTGTGTCTGGCCGGTCCAGATCCAACGCCAGGAATACATTCTTTATTAGTATTTATTCGAACATAACTTTGGACTGCACTCATGCGGCTGCCTTACCGGTCAATCAGCAGCATTCAGCCACTCCCTAGCATTTATACCACCTTCCCAGCCAACTACGGGGGCTCTGACTCAACAAACACATCTGGAATTCATTCGGGAACATGTCTAATCAGAAAGATTGAGGATGGGATCGAGGCGGTCCCTTTCGAAAGGAGTAACATTCTCTCGGCTCCTATACTCAGTCCAGATCAAGAAGAGAAAGAAGTCTTCGTGCCTTCATGCGACGAAGCGGATAATTTCAACAAGCCTCTGCCTAGCCTTCCAAGATGTATATGGCAGCGAATGTCTCAGCGGCAACGTATCTTCACTCTGCTGATTTTACAATTTCTGATGCTCCTTACGATCGGCCTGAGTCTTCTGGCTGTCAAAGATCGATCTTCAACCAGGTAAGGTGTACGAAGTCAAATCATAAGGACGCCATTAACGTGGATTCTATAGTAATGAGGATGCGACAGCACACGTTACTAGCAGTGGCCCTTCAAGTACCAACATCACCAATAACCTCCGACGTGGCATCTTTGCGTTGCCTGTTGAACTTCCGCAGCAACAGAGCATGGCATGTTTGGCAAGCAAGGATCAATTTAATGCGTGGCAATGCGCGTCTGAAACAGCATTTCAAGTAAGCATACTTCCAGCTTTGGCGGGTAACGACAGCACGATCATGATAGCCGTGGAGCCACCGGGAAGCAACGAAACTATCCGCCATGGCGAACGCATACCGAACATTCCACCTTTGGAGCTTCTAGCGGTCAACAATGCTGAGCACGAAAACGATTTTGCGTATCACTTCCGCACTACCTACGACAAGATTGTATTGCTTGGTGAGGATGAGCTATCTCTCGCTGAAGAGCTACGGATGCATCCTGGGACTTCGAACACTCTATTCCAACCTGGGGATAGTCTGTGGCAGTGTATCTTCAATGAGACCCTGATTGAGGGTAATATCTATCCTACCAGAGCTGCAACTACCAGCGCTACAAATTCGGCATCGGGCACGGTTGATGTGGATAATCCAACCCCGCTGCCGGATTGCCCCTACGCCGTTGAGTTGGTCGAGAAGTGGACGCCAAATGGAAAGACCCCTTATTGTTCGAAAATGACTATGGAATCGGACGGTACCCTTGCTCCACTTTCGGAGGAGGTGATGTTGCGTTTGGACGATTCCAAGGGTAATGTTCCAGTTTCCACATCGCAACGTATGGGACGTATTAGGCATCGAGAGCAACGGGAAGAGGCGCAGTTGAGCCAGTGTCAGTGTCAATGGGTGGTCAGCTGACCCAGGTTTTTCGATCTTACAGACAGACAATGCCATAACTCCGTCAACATCGTCTTCTTTGCGCTGGTCCGACGTCTTCATTACATTTACATTCGGGCATGCTTACATCAAAACATGACCAGAACAGCTTACGCGTCTTTATCCGCGAAGAACAGGTGTTCGATTGAATCTTGGGCCCATGACTCCACCCAGGACCCTTTTTCCTGGGTACACCCACACATGACATGCCACACTGAGTAGACGACCAGCGAAATTCGTAATTGCCCTGCAGACCTCACAGCATCTACCGCGTCCAGGCCCATCCCCGATCACGTTGTCCCATCGTCGGCAACCGATGGCACATCACCGGGCTCTATCTTTACTCACTCACCAAGCACTTCGATTGTCTAAAACCTATCCTGCACGCCTACCTGCATTCAATTATTCAGCAACATCGTCGAAGATTGCGAGGACAGGGAACGAGTTCTGCGTCGCAATCATCTACTATACTATCGAAACCTTATCAAGATAGCCCTGGCATACAATGGTCCTCCCTAAGGTCACCGAATCCAGGCGAAACTCTTCAGGACGGGATCGTCGTACACACAGCAGAAATGCTGTGCCACCAAAGGCTCCCGAAATCATACAAATACCTGGGCGGTTCAGCGCGCTTGGAACTGAAAGCACCATAGCAGTAGTGGGAAGGAAGCAAGAGACTCGCGCACGAGTAAAAGTTGAGCCCGAGAGTCCCGATAACACGGTATGTCTAACCTCGCCAGCATCCCGACGTCGAGACTACAGGGAAGAAACAAAAGTAGTCAAGCCCGGAGGACCTTCCTCCCGTCATCATACAGTTCACATCAAGGTCGAAGATAAAGCCGATCCCGATACACCTCCACGCTATCCATCCTTCACAACAGCATGGTCCAAATCTCCACTCCGCGTACCGACCCCTATTGCTGAACAGTTCTACCGATCTACAGTAGTCAAGAAGGAGAGCGATGTTTCTTTAGTACATAGGGACGTACTGTCACTTCGCAGCCAAACTTCAGGTCCGTCGGTTAGCTCGAGCTACAAGAGGTTCGCTGTCGAGACTTTCCGTGACTTCGATGCGTCACACCCAGCCTCCAAAGTCAAGATAGAAGAGGAACCAGAAAAGGGATACTACATCCCGACAGGAACGAGCAAAATCAAGCATGAAGAGGCATCTTCTTCCACGAACGTCCATCACCGCTATCCCAGTTCATACCGCAAAGCGCCTGTAAAACATGAACCGGCATCACGTTCTTCACCCGATCTCAGGCGTACACGAAGCCACTGCACCGTCGCGACAGCACCAGAACTCCGCTCCGAAAGCAAATTCTCCTACCTCCAACCCATCACACCCACGCCCTTCAGCACACCTTACGGTCTCGTCAACCCCTACCCTCCCGATCCATCAACATATCTCATCTCCGGCTCTTTGCTCGAAGGAGTTCAACGGCGGACAAAGTGGGGCCAGCGAGATAGACGGACGAAGCGGCAGCCACGAGGTGTGCCCGCAGCCGAGGGTGCTGCTAGTGATAAAAAGAATGCTACAAAAGCAGGAGCGGAGGGGACTGGAAGTGGCGGAAAATGTGCATGGTACAAATCTTCGCTTTGCATATGCTCCAAATGGATTAGTTGTATCAAGGCGAAGTGCTCACGAGCTGCTAAGAAGAAGTGGTGGCAGAGAAGTAAACAGCATCAGTACACCACGGAGAGGAGGGAAGACAGTGGGTTTTATGTTGTGAGAAGAGAGATTGGTCCTAATCTCAGGGTTACGGTTAGAGATGTCTGAAATACGTGTGAGTAGTGGTAGGATGTTTCGTGGGAGTGGCCATCAACGCGGGGTGGTATTGGGGCGGAAATGTTAGCTGCGTTATCAAGGACGGTGCCTTGGAAGGTGCTTGAGAAGGTGCTTGGGAAGGCGCATTTGGTGCTGCGCCGACTTGTCCTATGTTGTGCACACATACTCTCCACGCGATTGGCCAGGTAGTTGCATCAATTCTCACCGGGATTACAAGAAGCAGTCCTCATGTAGTCACAAGATTAATAGCGCAATATTAAGCTATGATGTTCATGGTGCCTGCCAATAGTGAGCGATCGGTGTTTTCATGTGGACGCCGAACAGCTGGCTGCCAATACAGAAGGTGCAAGGGCTGAAGTTCAATCTCGCTCTTTCGCCCCCACACCTCGACCACAGCCTTGTGCAACATCACAAGGCTGGAACCGCTATGCCAAAGACACGGGTAGTAGTGCGCCTTATATCCAAGATGGTCCGCCATCCAGCCTCACTGCAAAATTTTGCGTCTCATCTTCGTCGTCCGGCCGACATGAGTTCTCAACGTTACTACTCACTCGGTGTGCCTGGAGCCCGTGCTTGGGAGATGGAGGAACATGAGTCCGAGTACCGGTAAACTACGTCCTGCGACGAGACCTGGTTTTGCGGCTGACAGTTGCAGACCGCAAGGGCTCACCACGGAAGTCTCCTCAGTTAGCCTTCTCTCTGACCACGAGTTCACCTCAGAATACGATCTCCAACAGAACCTTGAAAGTGCTCAACATCAACACAATGGCAATGCCAACTCATACCCGCGGAATGCGAGCGTCAACGGCTACCCGCAGAATTTTGGCGCGGGTGCAATTGTTCACCCGTCCGAAGTCTATATGCAAAACCACGCAGCCAGTCTCACCTCAGAACATATAGATGTTGCGGATGCCAATGCTTCACCAGAAGCGGACCTCGGTTCACTCGGTCAACCTCTTCGCCGCTTCTACTTTCGCACGATAGTCGGCATCCTTGGACCGGTGATGGTAGTATGTTATCTCATCACCATCTGGCGCATCTACCTCGCCCCACTCCACCCCGACTCGACAGTAGCGTTCGGACCGCAGGGTGCCAAATGGGTCTTCTACAGTTGGTTCGTCGCCGGAGTGATTGGTCTGAGCTTAAGTCTCTACGGACTGGCTGGTGCCGAGGCTGGCATGCTCATGGAGCGAAATTGGAGGGTTCAAGACGCCATGCGTCTTATGTTGCATGCTGACAATACATGGTCTGGCCCCGGTGGCTGGATGAAAGCATTCAAATGGGCTGTGCAAATGCGTAGGGTACGCAACCAGCATAGCAAGCTTCCTTCTCGGTTGTGGTTTGTTCTGGCACTTCCAAGCGTTGTTGTCTTCGTGGCTTGGCCCTTATCAGGCCTCTGTCTTGAGATGACTAGTGGTTTCCTTCATGGTAAGCCAGGGCAAGGAGCGGATGTTACCGGATTCGTTCAATCGACGTTCAACGCCATCCTTGGGGGTCGCAAACCGTCTCGAGGAACCTCCATCGGCGCGCGTGTTTTCGGATATGGTGCTGTTTACACACCTGACAACTTCGACCGATCGAAAAGCGACTTTTTGAGGAATGTTCCGGTGATACTTCCGAACACTGAGAGCGTCGAAGATATATTTTTGATCACTCAAGGTGAAACTCCTATCGAGGGAAAAGCTTGGGGTCTGTTGCTACATTACGATTGCAAGATCGTAGACACGCTGTCTGACTTCGTTCTCTTAAAAGACCGTCGATATTCAACAGATGTCTGGGGAAGGAACTCCACCTTTCCCGATTTCGAACGAATAGGAACTGCGCGAAGAGCGGATGAAGATCCTCCCATCGAAGAATTTACGACTGCAGCCTCCCCATTGGACCCGACTGACAGCCTTGCTCCAGCTGCTACCTCCACCTCGTCTCCTGAACCGAGCACAGCTCCGACTTCAGACTGCACAGGATGCGCCCTTGTCAATGATGGTAAAGAAGTCAAGTATATGTCGTACCGTCTTCATGATAACAGTACCTTGGTGGAGGTAAAGAAAGAGCTCGGAGGAGGTCACGCTGAACCATCCCTTGAGGATCTAGTGAAAGGGGTAGTAAGTATCGGTGCAGTCTTAGAGACTGCGTATCAATCCCTGTCGCCACAAACAGGCTCTAACAACGAACCGCCTTGCGGCTGGCTTGATGAGACGGAAAACCCGTCAACGTCTTATTGCTATCATAACCTGCAAGAAGATCCTTCAAAACCGTATCCCGGAATCGAACACAAGAGAACTTTTGAGGTTCTGCTGTGGCAGACATCTTCCAATTTTTTAAGTCCCCCAAACAGAACGATCGTCCGTACAATCGAGTCGTTGACCGGAGAGTACATCGATGGTGAGGAGAGACTCAAAGCAATTGGTGCGTCCTGTACGTCAAGCAGCAGTGTAGGCTCAGCAAAAATCGATGGCGTGCGCTCTACTTACTCCAACTTCCAACGAAGCGACACCCCGGTGCCTACTCTAAAGAACAAGTGTGCGAAACGTTTTGGCGCAGAGACACTTGCGTGTACACTCAACATCAACGACGACGGTTGGTTGAAGTGGCTGTTTGACTCAATAGGCCTACCGTCACCACTTGGCACAACAACAGGAAATACGGAAATTATGGTTGGCAACCTGATAGTTGACACTCAGGTGGAATATCTACAAGCCGACCAACTTCGACAGGCTCTTCTGCAAGCTTATTCCACCTATGCAATCAAGCTCATGTACAATGACGGTCAGGATTTCATAAGCGAGAACGGAACACGCCTCAAATCACACGTTCCCGACCTCACGGCTTTTGTCGCTGGTACCGTAATCGAACCAGGCGTCATGCCGGCTGCTGTTCCTGTCGCTCTATTCGGACTATGGGCTTTGATCAGCTCAGGCCTCTGCCTTGTCTATGGCTTCAGGCGACGATGGAGTGCGATCTTGGACGGGCATACAGTCTTCAGGCTTGGGGCCGAGTTACAACAGACGTACCGGGCGAGACTGCAACTGTATTCTACGATTGCTGATATTGAAGAGTGCGAGACTTTGCATGAGATTCCGGGGTTCGTTGCTGACATGGATCCTGATGATGATGTAGGGAGGATTGGACTTATGGATGGGAAGCCGGCTAGGAAGGACAAGCTTTATCGGTAATGAATAGTGTAGTCAAGGTCGTACGTAACGTAATGTGCAATAGCAATTACCCATAAGGAAGCACTTATAAAGAAAGAGAAATTTGATCAAAACGTGTCTTTATCGTCAAAAAAATGTAGTATGCGTATCGAACGCTCTACCACTGAAATAATATTTACAACCAACGTAATTTTCCCTTGCATATATTTTCCCATATCATCAGTATCCCGTCAAGCGACTTAGAAAGCAAGCAAGACGGCACCCATCACAGCACCGACAAGACCACCGGCCTTGACATGGCTCGCCGCACCAGTGAACTGCGATGGTGGAGCAGAGAAGGTAGCGTTGCCAGAGGGCTGGGGCAGCGCACCAGTAGGCGCAATTGAAGGCACAACAACACCAGGTGCGGACCGAGTGTCGATCTCCAGACCAGACTCGGTAGGGTAAGGAGGAGATGAAGCTACCGCGGAAGTGATCAGACTGGAGATGGGCACGGCAGGGTACTCAGTCGTGAAGGTGGCGGGCGGTGCGTTGGTGATTGCTGGGGGAGCGCCGGTGACGGTGACGGTAGCAGTACCGCACTCGCATGGCTCATCTTCGCTATCGCTGCCAGTGGGCGAGTCAGGGCTGCCTGACTCTTGGGGGACAGCAGCGCCGCCGGTGGGGTAGTTGAAGCCGGATCCGCCATTGCCGCCGGCTGGGACAGCGGGAGGTGTGGGCTTTGCTGCGTCGCTCTCTGTGCAGGTGGTGGATGCACCGGAGGGCTTTGAGTCGGAACCGCTGTCAGAACCACCAGTGGCGGCTGGGGCGTCGATGCCAGATTCGATGGGAGCTCCGGTTGCGGCGGCGGAGTCCTCGATGGCTACGCTGTTGACAGGAGCACCCTCTGTGTTTCCGGCATCAATGACCTTGATGGACTTAAAGTCGCCAGTCTTGTCAGTCCACTCATACTCCTTGCCTGGCGAGTAGTTGATGACCTTGATGCTCTTGACGGTCATGGTGAAGGGCGCATCGTCGTAGGTGACGTTTCCTCCCGCCCACTGGCGAGTGCCCTCGTCCTTGGAGTCACCACCTGGCCAGTTTCCGAGACGAACATTGCAGGGCGTTTGGGGGTAGTTCTTGCCGCCATTGGCATCGGCGAAGTTCAATGTGCGGGTAGGCTTGTCGTCAACAATCCAGGTGAGCGATTCAGAAGTCCAGTTGAGAGCGTACTTGTGGAATTCGTTCTGGTTGTTGAGTGCATCAGCCTCGATCATGCGATCGTAGGTGGTAGTGTTGCCCTGGCTGGAGTTAGTTTTCGGAAAAAGTCATGGCAAATTGTTGTTCACGTACCTTGCCGAAGTAGTTCTGCTGTACACGGCTGTCAACACCACCAATCCATTCCCAGTCGACTTCATCCAGGTTGTCGGACTGAAGGACAATGGAGGAGATAATGCCGACGCCAGGAGCTGCCTTCATGACGACCTCAACGTATCCAAAGTGAAGCATGGCCTCGGATCCAATAGTGGGAGCATCACCCTTCTTCGCAACGGTAAATTCAGCACCCTCGGGTCCATACTTCAGGGAACCAGCAGTCTGCTTCCATCCCTTGATAGCGTCCTTTCCGGCAGTGAAGTCGGTCTCCCAGTTTTGGGGCATGGCAGGGTTGTTAGGGCATTTCTTCTCCATGGGGTTGCAATCAGTGAAGGTCTGAGCGGTGGCCAGAGCAGCCAGCACGCTCGCGGTAGTGTATGTGGAGAAACGCATGGTGGATATCTCGGTAAAGTCTAGTTGTTCGAGATAAGTTGATAAGACAAAAAGAAGTAGTCGTCCGAGAGTGTGCTGTACGGAGTCGTTTCACACGCAAGACACAATGTCAACAATGCGTAGAGTGGTGTTAAGGAATGTAGTGCTTCGCAAGCGAGCGTTGAAAAGAATGTAGTGACTGAGGTCGACCTGCGTCCAGAGAATCGACTGAGAGAGTGTGAAGTATGAAAGGTTAGACAAAGAGTGCAGGCCAGTGCTGCGTGTCAGAGGAGCACCGACTATTAAAAGTCACGAAATGCTATACGAAGCAATCTCCCCTGCGCGCCAGGACGCGCATCAGCGGCCAGCGGCCGAAGTCCATGCGGCTTCTCAAGCCCATGCAACATGTCTCCAAGTCAAGCGCTGCGTAGACCTGAATGGTCGTGATGGCTCTCCTGAAGTGTTTCACCAGCCGTCAGTGGAGACTAGGGCGTGTCAGGATAGTGCAGCCGCGGAGCCCGTTCTGGCGGCGACGCCGCAGGCGCCTATCAGAATGGAGAAGTGCCTGACATCGTCTGGCTCATGTTTCTTCTTCCCAGCCACTAATTCTTATGCTTTGGGCGTTGGCCGGCTGCGTGGATGTGGCTGTGCCGCTGCGCCCAGCAAGTGGAAGGGATTGACCTCGAAATTGAGATGCGCACCTGGGCAGCCCTGACAGCTGGAGCGATGCGCGCGCTCCTATCTTATCTTGGCGATCATCCGTCTATCAATGACGTCTCTTCAACGGCCGGTTGCAAACATGTCGGCGCATCGACGCGCGGAGAGCTTACAAAGGGGGATGTCTGACAGATGTAGTTTGGTAGGCGGCGCAGTCGCTCCGACACCCGGTGCCAGACATGTGAGATGCAGGTGTAGACGGGGCGCTACCCAGAAATAGCTAGTAAGCTTTTCACTCGATTTTTTCTGCCTACCAACATTCACGACTGAAGCCGAAGCTCACTTGCGCAGGGCTCACTATCGGCACGTGACTGGTCGCTACACCGCCTTCCAAGGCTCGCCCCGCCGTTGCCCCTCAGTGGCAGAATTATTCGAATTTCACGTGTGACGAAATATACACGCCCATGCCGATCCTTCAGATCCTGTAAACATTCCACACACAACCAACCATGACCACCACCGACGGAGGAATAGAGCTGCCACAGCAACAGCATGAAGAAGTTGACCATGTCGAAAAGCCCGTCACAAACGAAACGGCCACTAATGATGATGACAACGAAATTGACGATCTTTTCGAGGAAGAGGACGAGATAGTGCCAGAGTTAATATCGGGCGACCACCACGACTTCACCAAAGCCTACAACCGCCAGCGAAAGCTAAACGACACGAATATCCCAGACGATCACAAGCACAAGTCGAATCCACAGAAGCCGTCTGCGAACACAAACGCCTCCATCGATGACCAAGTCGCCTCCCTCGCGAAGCATGCGGGCAAGATTCGCCTCACCGGGCGCATGACGGGTGCGTCTGGGGGTAACGCAAGGGACAAGGACAAGGCAGACCGCGCGACAACCGAACAAGTTTTGGATCGGAGGACGCAGATGATCCTGCTGCAACTCATAAACCGCGGCGTAATCTCAGAGATCCATGGTGTCATCTCCACGGGCAAAGAAGCGAACGTATACCATGCGATGACAGAAGCGCCAGAGGAGGACGCCGACCCTATTCACCGTGCCGTCAAGGTGTATAAGACGTCCATTCTCGTCTTCAAGGACCGCGCGAAGTACGTCGAGGGCGAGTTCCGCTTCAGGCAAGGATACAACAAGAGCAACAACCGCGCCATGGTACGGATGTGGGCAGACAAGGAGCGTAGGAATCTGGCTAGGATACACGACGCAGGCATTCCATCACCAATGGCTCATGCGCTGCGGAACCACGTTCTTGTCATGGGCTTCGTCGGTGACCGCAAAGGCAAGGCAGCGCCTCGTCTGAAGGATGTGCGCTTCGAGGGTCTTACCGCAGAGGAAGAGGACGCGAAGTGGACAAGCCTATACCTCGAGATGCTGGCGTACATGCGCATCATGTACCAGACATGTCGTCTTGTCCATGCCGATTTGAGCGAGTACAACGTCCTGTACCACGAGGGCAAGCAGTGGATCATCGATGTCTCACAAGCTGTCGAACACGACCATCCTCGCTCTCTCGAGTTCCTACGCATGGACGTCAAGAACGTATCTGACTTCTTCCGCTCCCGCAACGTCGAGACGCTTAGTGAGCGCAAGGCTTACGCCTACATCACAAGCGCAGCAGGAGCGAAGACTGTCAAGGAGCAGGCGCAGATGGAAGAGAGCATCCGCAGCCTCCTAAGCAAAGAACCCTTGACCGAGGAGGAACGGAAAAAAGAGGAAGAAGACGACGACGTCTTCCGCAACCAATACATCCCCCAAACCCTCGAACAAGTCTACGACATCGAGCGCGACGCCGAACTCGTCAACGCCGGTGGTGCCTCCGACCTCCCCTACCAAGCCCTCCTTGCCGACAACGTCGTCAAGAACGGCTCGGATGCCTCCGATGATGAGTCAGACGATGGTAGCTCTGGATCTGAGGTTGATCAGAGTATCTTCGATAAGGGCCCTAGCCGTGGTAAGAAGCATGTTGATCATGACGAGAAGGTGGCGCATAAGAAGGCAATTAAGGAGGAGAAGCGCGAAAAGAGGAAGGAGAAGATGCCGAAGCATATGAAGAAGAAGTTGGTGAATGGGGGTGGACACAAGAAGAAGTGAGCGTGGAAGTCATCTGGCCTTGCAGTCTTCCGCGATCGCGGAGATTGTCTGAGTGCGTGCGATCGCAGTCAGCATAGACGGGCGTATGCCGCGACTCGCATCCAGCACGAAGAAGAGGACATGAAGAGGAGTAGCGCACTAAGTCAACACGCAATATGGTTGTCCAAGTGCCTGAACAGCCTCGTTATAGCGCTGCTTCAAATTCCACTGCGCAGAAACTCGGCTCTCCTGGGTCGTACCTGATTCACAGCCACCCTAGGGTCCATGCTACCATGTGCAGGCCAGGGTCCTTGGTACGGCTCAAGAAAAGGAAGCTGCTTCGTAGCAGACCATGTCGAGCATAAATGTTCGGAGTGTACTCCAGTGCGCTAGATAGATGCGATCGGAGTTGTTGAAGCATTATGAATCGAGTATCATTCCATGAAGTATCCATGTCCTTCGTCTGTCTTATAGCATGTTCTTCCTCCACGCTCTCGTCCCCAGCTTCTCAATCTCCGGTACTTCAACTGGGCCCCT